TGAGATGGAGTCTTTTTTTTTTTTTTTTTTTTTTTTGAGACGGAGTCTTGCTCTGTCAGCCAGGCTGGAGTGCAGTGGCAGGATCTTGGCTCACTACAACCTCCGCCTCCCGGGTTCAAGTGATTCTCCTACTTCAGCCTACCAAATAGGTAGAATTACAGGCTCCTGCTTAATTTTTTGTATTTTTAGTAGAGACAGGGTTTTGCCATGTTGTCCAGGCTGGTCTCGAACTCCTGACCTCAGGTGATCCCCCTTCCCCAAGGCTGTCGGCCCCCCCCCAATTTTTTTTTTAGACGCTCTGTTCCCGGCGCTCCCCCCTCCCCCCCCCCCTCCCCCTCCTAGCTGGATTCTGTCCCGCTCTTTTTTTTTTGTGACGTTCCATTGGGGGTTCGCCTCCCAGTATTGCTGGCTGGGGATTACAGGCGTGAGCCACCGCACCAGGCCACTAATTTCTTTTTTGTTTTAGACAGAGTCTCGCTCTATTGCCCAGGCTGAAGTATGGTGGCACGATCTCGGCTCACTGCAATCTCCACCTCCCGGATTCAAGCGATTCTCTGCCTCAGCCTCCTGAGTAGCTGGGATTACAGGTGCGTGCCACCACGCCTGGCTAATTTTTGTATTTTTAGTAGAGACAGGGTTTCACCATGTTGGTCAGGCTGGTCTCGAACTCCTGACCTCGTGATCCACCCGCCTCGACCTCCCAAAGTGCTGGGATTACAGGCGTAGGTAGACCACTGCGCCCAGCCTAAACTTTCTAAACCTCAGTTGCTTAATTGCTGGGAGAGCCAGGATGCTACCTCATTGGGTTCTTGTGGATTTGCAGAGGTGACAGATACGCAGTTTGAATTTGGCCTGGATTCTCAAAGGCCCTGCAAACCTAAGGCACTTCAGATTGAATTCATCTTGTCAGATTTTTCACTCTTCCCCCACAAGTCCTGGAGCTGATTCTATCATTTCTTGCATTTCATTTCTCCTCAGCAGTAGAGCCTAGCTCTGGCCTGAAGAAAGATGAGATTGATCTTCCAACAAACTGACAGCTCTTCCCAGGAATATTTACTTCTCCCCTCCTTCCTTTTCCCGAATCTCCTAGGCCAGATGACTTCCTGAGGACCACGTTTGTAAGCAAAATCCCGACAAGCTATGAAACCAATCTGGGGCAAGTTGCTTCCCTTTCCTGGTCCATCTTTCAGGCAGCTGACCTTTTTCTGCCCTTAGGACAAGTTCCTAACAGTGCATTGAGTACCCTGAGGGTCTAGTGTCTTTCTGTGCCATGCCAGCTTCACTATGTATCTGGAAACCCAAGGAAGGGGGTAGATCTGAGGCTACAGAAACCACATATGCCTCATTCATCACCATGTTCCCACATCCTAGCTCATAGTAGGAATTCAAACAGCTGATAAATGAATTCAGGAGCTTTTAGTGTTGAGAGGCCTCATGGGACTCTGAAGTGGTCTATAGTAAGAAACTTGGTCTTGGTGAACTAAAGGAATTTTGTATTCACAATATGTAATTTCTCATATGAGAAGTAAAGTTTAGAAATAAAAACATTGGCCGGGTGCAGTGGCTTACGCCTGTAATCCCAGCATTTTGGGAGGCCGAGGCAGGTAGACCACCTGAGGTTGGGTGTTCAAGACCAGCCTGACCAACGTGGTGAAACTCCATCTCTACTAAAAATACAAAAATTCACCAGGCGTGGTGTCATGCGACTGTAATCCCAGCTACTGGGAAGGTTGAGACAGGAGAATTGCTTGAACCTGGGAGGCAGAGGTTGCAGTGAGCCGAGATCATAGCAGTGCACTTGAGCCTGGGCGACAGAGCGAGACTCCATCTTAAAAGAAAGAAACACATTTGTCTTACTCAACAGTCCTCTTTTGGGGTGAAAGGTTTTCTAAAATAAAAATTACACAATACTGCAGGGCTTTTTCTCTACCTATGAGTAGCTTATTTTACTACCTAACCATATGGTAACTCATTTTACCACAGTAGCCACAAATTGGATAGCACAGATATGGAACACTTCCATCACTGCCAGAAGTGTTATTGGGCAGTGATGATATAGAACTCTCCTGCATAAAAAAAATTTTTTTTTTTGAGACGTTGTCTTGCTGTGTCGCCCGGGCTGGAGTACAGTGGCGTGATCTCGGCTCACTACTAGCTCCGCCTCCCGGGTTCACGCCATTCTCCTGCCTCAGCCTCCTGAGTAACTGGGATTACAGGCGCCCGCCATCACACCCGGATAATTTTTTGCATTTTTAGTAGAGATGGGGTTTCACCGTGTTAGCCAGCATGGTCTCGATCTCCTGACCTCGTGATCTGCCCGCCTTAGCCTCCCAAAGATTACAGGCGTGAGCCACTGCGCCTGGCTAGAAAATTTTTTTTCTTGTTCTGCCAATGAGATAGAAATCAAGATATGTTTATTATTTACTTATTTTTTTTTGAGACAGAGTCTGTCACCCAGGCTGGAGTGCAGTGGCGCATTATCAGCTCACTGTAACCTCTGCCTCCTGGGTTCAAGTGATTCTGTGCCTCAGCCTCCCCAGTAGCTGGGATTACAGGTACACACCACCATGCCCAGCTAAATTTTTTGTATTTTTAGTAGAGATGGGGTTTTGCCATGTTGCCCAGGCTGGTCTCAATTCTTGAGCTCAGGAAATCCACTCACCTCAGCCTCCCAAAGTGCTAGGATTACAGGCGTGAGCCATGCACCCGGCATATGTTAAACTTCCTATGTTAAATTGGTTGAAACCTAGCACGGAGAACCATCAGAGATTTTGCCGAGGCCAGCAAAATCTGCAGATTTTTTTTCTTGGCTCTGCGTAGTGCCTTGCAGATCACAAGAAAATCCCAGCATCTTTGCCTTATTTTCTCTATTGTAAAACAGAGTCTTGCTTCCCTGGGGAATACTGAAGCTAACATGATGTACTTCACCACTGGTTGGAATGTGTGCATGGACAGGTTAACTTCTGTAGATTTGTCAGTCTGTTCCCCTAAGAAATGAGGGAAATTTTTTTTTTTTTTTTTTTTTTTTTTTTTTTTTTTTGAGACGGAGTCTCACTCTGTCGCCCAGGCTGGAGTGCAGTGGCGCTATCTCGGCTCACTGCAAGCTCCGCCTCCCGGGTTTACGCCATTCTCCTGCCTCAGCCTCCCCGAGTAGCTGGGACTACAGGGGCCCGCCACCTCGCCCGGCTAATTTTTTTTTGTATTTTTAGTAGAGACGGGGTTTCATTGTGTTAGCCAGGATGGTCTCGATCTCCTGACCTCGTGATCCGCCCGTCTCGGCCTCCCAAAGTGCTGGGATTACAGGCTTGAGCCACCGTGCCCAGCCGAGGGAAAATTTTTGCTTCACCTGTCAAGATTAAGTATAAAATATGTGAAGTAAATGCTATATTATTGTAGGTAAAATTTCACATGTAGTCAAAATTTATACATCAACATTTCCATATGAAGTACAATAAAGCTTAAGTAGGGTTGAGTCCATCATTAAATGCGTTCTATGGGGATCTAAACAAAGATAAATAAGATGTCCGTGATCTAGAAGACATACGTGACTGCAAAATGTCACTGCTAATCATTAATATGTGATTTGCTTTTCTGCTTGGATTTTATTTTAGCCAAAGCCTAATCCTAGCAGAATATTAGCACCTTGGGAAGAGAGACCTCTTTTAATAGCTCATAAGTGAATTTAATTATTTTTTAAAAATTAAAAAAGGAGAAACACTGGAGAGGGGTGATAACTAAGCAATTATTTTTTTTTAATATGAGCCAGAAAAATATGAAGTGAAATTGAGTTAACATGATAGGTCCTTGGAGAGAATCTGCTCAGCCTTTTTCTGATGCAGGGCTTATTCCTAGCACTACTAATCTGGATCTGTTAGCCTTTAAACTGGTTTAAGAGCAGCTCTGGTTAGAGAAAAGTAGCCTCACCACCAGCTGTAGCAAATTTAGAAATGTCTCAAGAATCTGGCTAACTTCCCATCACTTATTACTGAAGCCACAGCACTCACCTCACTAAATGCTTTTTTTTGTCGTTTTGGAGAAAGGGTCTCCCATTGCCCAGAATGGAGTGCAGTGGCACGATCACAGCTCACTGCAGCCTCAACCTCCTGGGCTCAAGAGAATCTCCCACCTCAGCCTCTTGAGTAGCTGCGATTACAGGCGTGCACCACCATGCCCAGCTAATTTTTTTTTTTTTTGAGATGGAGTATAGTGGTGCAATCTCGGCTTCCCGCGACCTCTGCCTCCTGGGTTCAAGCGATTCTCCTGCCTCAGCCTCCTAGGTAGCTGGGACTACAGGCACTTGCCACCATGCCTGCTTAATTTTTGTATTTTTAGTAGGGACGGGGTTTTGTCATGTTGGCCAGGCTGGTCTCAAACTCCTCAAGTGATCTGCCTGCCTCGGTCTCCCAAAATGCTGAGATTACAGGTGTGAGCCATTGCACCTGGCCAACTAATTTTGTTGTTTTTGTTTCTTTTGAGATGGAGTTTTGCTCGTTGCTCAGGCTGGAGTGCAATGGCGCAATCTTGGCTCACTGCAACCTCCGCCGCCTGGTTCAAGTGATTCTCCTGCCTCAGCCTCCTGAGTAGCTGGGATTACAGGCGCCTGCCACCATGCCCAGCTAATTTTTGTATTTTAGTAGAGATGGGGTTTCACCATGTTGGTCTCCCTGACCTCAGGTGATCCACCCACCTCGGCCTCCCAAAGTGCTGGGATTACAGCGTGAGCCACCATGCCCAGCCAGCCAACTAATTTTTATTTTTGGTAGAGACAGGGTTTCAACATGTTGCTTAGGCTGGTCTCGAACTTCAGTGGGCTTAAGTGATCCGCCCACCTCAACCTCCCAAGTGCTAAGATTACAGGTGTGAGCCACCACGCCTGGGCTTAAATTCTTCCTTCTATATGTAAATTTCTGACATCTATTAGTTTGAACTTTGTAGCTTAAGAACTAGGAGAGAATAAAAAGACTGTGGTGGTAAATAACAATCACAAACATAAAAAGATATTTAAGTGTTAGAAACGTTTATTTGTCAAAAAATTTAAAAAAAAAAAGGGAGGCGTGGAATAAAGGGTAAATTTCAGCTAATGCTGTACCACGATCACAGGTCGGACATAAAAAAACAAAACAAAACAACAAAACCCCCAATGGTCCTAGCAATTTCAGAAGAGTAACTTCAATGTTAGAGTCCAGAGCTAACAGAAGAGTAAAAGGCTGCTTGCCACTACATGGTCATTTTAAAGGGAAAGGAGATGCTGCAGGTAGGCAGGGAGAAGGATTCAACTCCTAGGGAAAGCAAGATAAGAGGGGCTCCACTGCACAGGAAAAAGGGGATGCCAGCATAATCCTTACCTAGGGCTGCTCAGAGGCTGAGAATGTAAGGAACAGAGTGAAAGGCTACAGAGACTAGTTTCAGGAGGAAAGAAAAGTCAACTTAGAAGAATTAAATTAAGAAAGAAAACATAGTTGGTCACAAACTCCTTTTGTTTACTGAAACATGAAGCAATGGAAACATCCCGGCAAAGGGGACCGCGCGGAGCAAGTTCTCATATATGACCGCAGCCCGAGGGTTCAGTCCGCAATTATCCTACCTGAAAGAGAGCACAACACAAGAGGCTTACACAATGCCTGGAGAGCAGCCTGGCTCCGAGTACAAGCGCCCTGGGTCCCATCCTGTATTCCACGGGGGGGGAAAAAAGAACAAAACAAAACCAAGTCAGACTGGATCTAACTCATATCTTATGTAATTACCTAGGAGTCTATTAATAGCTATATATAGGAATCTACTTATGGCTATATAGGAAAAGATGCAATCTAGCTGAAGAATGTGTTGGTGATAAATACATCTTTCTTATCCATCTTTTAGGCAAGATAACCCCTGTGACAGAAGGCTACTGTTGCTGCAACAAAGGGCATACATACGTTTTCAAGAACTGCAATTTAATTTTGGGGTCCAGGAAAAGCAGAAGATGCTGAGATGTCATATATGGCGAACTGCACTATTCTAAATGTGTTTTGTTTTAATCTTTCACAGTAAACAAGCTTTCAGAAATGGTCACAAGGGGTAGGATATCAAGGAGCAGCCAGTCATTCACCCAATTCCAACACACCTACATGTCACACTGTCACAGAGTTAGAGCCACAGTTCCAGTAGTTCCCCTAATTGACCAAATCTCCCTTGCCAAATCAAAAGAAGAAATCACTCCTAAAATTCTCTAATCCTTCTATTGATGATGGGAACTCCAGACACCAATGGCTGGGGGAAAAAAAAAGTTAACTCACACCAAGTTCCTCTACTTATTACAGACAAAGGGCCAAATCTTGGTCTTGATCTGTGCCAATCGACTTCAAAAGTTGTGACGTTCTTGGATCAGTTCTGCTAGGGTGAGACCCGAATTTGTATCCCCAACAGTTCTGGAGTATTTCATCCTGGCAGCCTCATTAACATCAGGCTCCTGGGACTGCAACCAACTCAGGGTTATTCAGTCCATTTGAGGTTCACACCTGGAAGGTAAGTTTCTTTAAAAGTCATCACTAAAAAGAGGTTAGTTGAACAACCACTGCTTGCAGTCAAAATTCATTTTAAAATGTCCTAGCAATACCTTTTGAAGACTACAATATATGAATTTAACATTTAACTTTGAAACATAAGAGAAACAGGTTATCTGATAGATTTATACCAGCTTACTTCAGAAGCATATCCCATCTCATGCTAGATCCAGCTGCATTAAAAGTAAAAATTAATGGCAAACTACAAATTTTAAGATCATTTGCTTCACACATAAACACAGACTGGGCTGCACGGTGGTCTCAAGAGATTTCAAGACTTGTTTACATGCATATAAGAATACAACTTATTACAGGTTCGTAACATTTGCTTCTCAATTCACATAAAAAAGCAAATTCCTTTTTAAATTTTTATTTATTTATTTATTTTTTTTTTTAAGAGAGAGAGGAGCCACTCTGTTGTCCAGGCTGGAATGCAGTGGCTAACTGCAGTCCTTCACTCCTGGGCTCAAGGGATCCTCCAGCCTCAGCCTCCTGAATAGTTGGGACTACAGGTGCGAGCCACTGTACACAGCTGCTTTGTTATCTTCTACATGAATACCAAAGGGATAAGTTAGGAACACCAGAAACTCAGTAGTAACTCACTTTAACCTTGCTTCTGGGGCTCCAAATGATGCTCATTTTCAAGGTACAAGAAAAACCATGAGAATGTAAAGTTGTCATAATGCCATTTCCACTCAGATGAAAAGACTTATCTATCTTTAGATACTCAAAATTATTCCTGGCATTTTAGCACTTTTGGTGCACATTTCCTGATAGAGGAAATAGTAAAATTTCAGAGCCTATGGCATTGGCTTTCACCACCTATGCAATTTTCTACACATCTGAAAATTACCAGTTTATCTAACTTACCTAACTCCTGAAATGTTCCTCTCTTCAACAACAAAAAACACAAAACAAAAATTGCTGGAAGAAATGGGAAGCATCTAGCTCTAAATGACAGCATAACAGGCTATGAAAAAATAGGGCTTAAGTGCCCATATAGAACAAGATGCTAGTCTAGATTACTAATAAGGACTCCATGGGGCAGAAGATCAAAACATTCAAGTAAATGTCTTAGAAGCGAACATTTGAAATTTATAGGACTTCCTCTGGCATGTAGGTATGATATTCGAAGAGTTTCCTTTGACGAAGGGTAATGACCCAAGAAGTAGTTTGGTTTTTTTGCTTTTTTTTTTTTTTTAAAAAGGAGAGACAGGGTCTCACTCTGTTGCCCAGGCTAGAATACAGGGGTGTGATCATAGCTCACTGTGGCCTCTTTCAACTCCTGGGCTCAATTGATCCTTCCAACCTCAGCATTCTGAGTAGCTGGGATCACAGGTGCTCCCCATTACACCCTGCTAATTTAATTTTCTTTGTAGAGACAGGGTCTTGCTATGTTACCTAGGCTGGTCTTGAACTCCTGGGCTCAAGTGATCCTCCCGCCTCAGCCTCCCAGTGTTAGGATTACAGGCGTGAGCCACTGCCTCTGCCCTCAAGTAGCAATTTTATTAGCAAACTGTAAGCCTAAAGTAATGGTTAAAATTCTCACTGTGATATTAATTACTAAGCCCTGAACCTGTGCCCTTCAGCTTTACCATGGCAGTACTTCTGTAGTAGAGCGAGCACGGGTTTCGGAATCAGGCCCGTGTGTGAATTCTGACTCTATCTTCCATTTACCAAATGACTTTGGGCAAAGTACTTAACCTTTCTGAGGTTCCCTTCTCTGTAAAAGAATAAAATATTTCAGTCTTATCGTATAGATGATATATAAGAGAGCACGTAACAAATGTTAGATCTCTCAAATGTTTTTCTGTAACCCAAATATACTTACAACTGATTAAAGAATGTTCTATCAAATTGAATTTGTTGTTCTCTCAGAAGGAACAAGTTGGTTGGAGTCATACACTAACGCCTTGACAGGCCAAATGGAACTTGTGGCCTAAGCCAGAGAAATACTGAAGACTAACATGTAATTTGTACCTTTTGGATACTGTCCGGAGAGCAAAAAGTGGCTCTAGCCTCCTTTATGAAGCATGGGTCTCTTTCAAGGGAACTAAATGGAATCTTTTAACCATTCCCACCCATCTCTCACCTCCAGTTTTTAAAAGGCTGAGTACCGGGCTCGGTCCACATACTGCTCCCGTTCATACCGGGCCATGTCATACAGAGAATTCCGTGTAGCTGCTGAAGCCTGAGATAACTCACTCTCTGGCCCATAACCGTAGCCCTCTCCAACCGTGGGGAGCATGGCTGCAGCACGACGCAGTGGGCTCCTGTCCCTTCCATAGTAGGAGGAAGTGGTGGCCGCAGCAGCAGCCATAGCAGCTGAAGTGGCAGCAGCGCCAGAGTTTGGCAACAGGTGTCTGTCATAGGGATCAACAGAAGTAGAGTTGAGGTGGCTGGTCACAGTTGTGCTTTGGACTTGAGGCAGATGGGACATGGTCTGCTCTGCGTAGTTGTATGCAGAAGCCGCTGCCGCTGCTGCTACTGCCTCATAAGAGCGGACCCGGTATCGCTTATAGTAGTCGAGTGCTCCATATGCATCGTTGTAATACATGGATTCCCCATAGCCCATGGTGTAAGGTGTGCGAACTGCTCCATATTGTTCATTATACTGCTCAGTAAAGTCTGCCACACGACCCGTACGATCTACTGGGCACTCTTTGGACCAGTGCCCTTCTTTCCCACACCGATAGCAGCCACTCTGGTCTCCCATCCCAGGGGCAGTCCGAAGCCGGCTTGTGGACAACTGCACATGCATTCTTTTGCCTTGAGGAAACAGATGTAAGATTTATTTTAACTCATTGACATTCTTTTTCCTCCCCTAAATGAAAGTAAATTAGTTGTCACAAGACACACAGACACACACACCTGTGACCCTATTTCAGCAACCTCCTTTAAAAAGTAGTTGAAATTTTTTCTTTTCCTTTTTTTTTTTTTTAAGACGGAGTTTCGCTCTTGTTGTCCAGGCTGGAGTGCAGTGGTGCAACCTCCACCTCCCAGATTCAAGCAATTCTTCTGCCTCAGCCTCCCGAGTAGCTGGGATTAGAGGCATGCACTGCCACGCCTGGCTAATTTTGTATTTTTGGTAGAGACAGGGTTTCTCCATGTTGTTCAGGCTGGTCTCAAACTCCCGACCTCAGGTGATCCGCCTGCCTCGGCCTCCCAAAGTGTTGGGATTACAGGCATGAGCCACCGTGCCTGGCCAGCAGTTGAAGTTTTAATACAGATGAGAGCTAGAAAATTTGATTTTTCAGAGACTAGTCAATACTTTCTACTTAGGCCAGGAGTAGACCAGACTCACTCCTGCTTCTGTCTCCACAACTTTCCTTTTTCCCCTTAAACACAACAATTGGAAAAGTTTCAACTTCTCACTGCTAAGACTTTATTACTTGTAATGATTCAAATTCTACCAATACTTTCAAAATCAACCAACAAAATCTCAGTTAAGTCAGATTTGGAAGGCATCTTGCCCATCTCTCACTGACTGACTGAGGATCTCGTAAGGCCTGAGCATTTACTATTGCTTAAAAACCACATCAGTCATCTGTCCATCTTGTTTCCTCCAGCTATTTTTGCAGATGTCACCAGAAGGCTCCCAATCATGGGCACATGAACCATATCTGGCTTGTCATCTGCTTCATCTCTAGTATCTCTGGGAGTTATAAGACCTTCCAGATGTCAACTCAGTCCCACCCCTACAAGGCTACTGTGGAAAGCTACCTGACCAAGGTCTCTCAACAACAAGAATTAGATCTTAAAACAGTACTGGTTTCTTAGGGACAGTGTGTTGACATGTAATGAAATGACTGGCATTTCATCCTGCCATGTAACTTAAATTCTTTATAGGGATTAACTACTAGTTAGAAAAATGCAGCATTTGCCTAGAGACCTTAAGAACACATACAAATGGGCCACATCCATTTCGGCTGCCAGGAAATGACCAGCAGTGAGGAACAGCTAAGAGAAGAAACAATCTTTGCTCAGGGATTGTGAACCACCAAACCCAGGGACCCTTACTAATGAAAGCATCTGAAGTCTTTAAAAGCAGTTAAAGAAAAAGAGTAGTCCCAGGTTGCACAAGACTCTCCTGGAGATCAAGTCAGTGCTTTCCAAATTGTAGCCAAAAGAAAATGCAAGGGAGGCTGAGGCAGGAGAATCGCTTGAACCCGGGAGGTGGAAGTTGCAGTGAGTAGAGATCGTGCCACTGCACTCCAGCCTGGGCAATAGTGTGAAACTCCATCTCAAAAAAAAGAAAGAAAGAAAACGCAGTCAGCACAGATACAGAGAACAGGGGCTTCTCATTACTCTTAAGGACTGCTCAAATCCCCCCCCTCTGCAATCAGCAAGTTGCTCTCTCTTTAACAGACCTTGTTCTGGATGCAGCTATGTGAGAGGAAGCCTTGTGCTCCACCATCCTGTTGGAAATAGCCCGATTCAGGACGGCAGCAGAACAGTGCCATGCACTGACCCTGAGAGGGGAGTGGGTTAGTGCAGTAATATAACTTTAGTCAAATTCATTTTGCCCAATGTCAAAGAGTCCTATCACTCCAGTTTCTAGCAGAAACAAAAGTGCTCAGGCTTTATACCTCCAACTGCTAGCAGACAGGCAGCATCCACTATCACTGATAGCAGACACCCAAAAAGGCACTAAATATCTAAAAGCATTTTGCCATCCCATTGTTTTCAGAGATTTAAATACTCCTAATTGTTCGAAGTTAGGGGCCACAATGCTACAATTTGAACAGAAACACAGATTTCTGCCACCATTTATATCTCAAATGCAGAGTTCCCTATAATTTAGACTAAAAGATTATAAATGACTTGGCTTTCAAATACACATGATGACATTAAGCTATGTGACAGACACAAACTATGCTCCAATTGCGAAGTCAGAGTGACCATGACAGTCTAAAAAAGAGCCAATCCAGAGACCTAAAAGTAACATTTTTAACAAAAAAATTCAATTAAATTTGCACTTTTATAGATTCTGGGTCCATTTTTTGGAGAAACAAAATCCAGCAACTTTACCTTGATGTTTTTTAACTAAATCCAATCCCCATTCCTGCATTTATTTAGAGGGTGGGAACTCAAGTTTCTATCTGTGGCAAAATCTACCTCTGTGTAGTTGTGAAAAGGATGCAGGTATCAATTTTTTGTTTATTTTTTGAGACATAGTCTTGCTCTGTCACCCAGGCTGGAGTGCAGTGGCGCAATCTCGGCTCACTGCAACCTCCACCTCCCAGGTTCAAGCAATTCCCTGCCTCAGCCTCCTGAGTAGCTGGGATCATAGGCACCCATCACCACTGGTGTGATTCTTAAGCAATTTTTGTATTTTTAGCAGCGATGGGGTTTCACCATGTTGGCCAGGCTGGTCTTGAACTCGACTTCCTGATCCACTCGCCTCGGCCTCCCAAAGTGCTGGGATTACAGGCATGAGCCACTGCGCCCGGCCCAATTTTTCAACCTAGAACTAAAAAAATCTGTAATAGAGGTGACAGGTTTAAAAAAAAAATTTTCAAACAGTTTCTCCAAGCTGGGTGCGGTAGCTCATACGTGTAATCCCAGCACTTTGGGAGGCCGAGGTGGGCCAATCACCTGAGGCCAGAAGTTTGAGACCAGCCTGGCCAACACGGTGAAATCCTATCTCTACTAAAAAAATATAAAACATTAGCTGGGCTTGGTGGCACATGCCTGCAGTCCCAGCTACTTAGGAGGCTGAGGCACAAGAATCACTTGAACCTGGGAGGCGGAGGCTGCAGCGAGCTGAGATTGTGTCACTGCACTCCAGCCTAAGCAACAGAGCAAGACTGTCTCAAAAAAAAAAAAAAAAAAAAAACAAACCACAAAAAAACCCAAAACAACCACAGTCTTTCCAATGGTTATAATTTGTTTTTATTAATTATTATTATTACTTTTTGAGACAAGTATCTTGCTCTGTTGCCCAGACTGGAGTGCAGTGGCGCAATCTCGGCTCATTGCAACTTCTGCCTCCTGGGCTCAAGCAATTCTCCTGCGTCACTCTCCTAAGTAGCTGGGACTGCAGGTGCACGCTACCACACCTGGCTAGTTTTTTCTATTTTTAGTGGAGACAAGGTTTCACCATGTTGGCCAGGCTGGTCTCAAACTCCTGAGCTCAGGTGATCCACCTGCCTCGGCCTCCCAAAGGGCTGGGATTACAGGTATAAGCCACTGCATCCAGCCTAGCCTTTTAATTTAAATACCCTAAAGTTTTAAAAATAATTGAAAAAGACTATGCTTCTCTATTATTATACCTTAAGGAACCAGGGCAAAGAAAAATGAAAGATTAATTCTTCTACTCTACTACACTTGGACAGGCCAAAAGCTTAAAGATTTCCTGAGACTTCCAAAAGTTACTGAAGTTTGTTGCCAACATTTTCCAGAAAACCAGCCCAATAATAGTGTTTTATTTTGAAAGCTGTAACAGAAAAGAGCATTAAAATGCTGAGAAGTGGGAAACCTGGGGTCTTAATTTCTAAGCACCTATCAAGTGCCATGATCCAGAAAATATTGGGGATGTAGCTAATACAGAGTAGCATTCTGACTTAATGCTTGTTTACATATAGGGAAAAAAAAAAAAAAAGACACCTGAACTCTCACATATTCTTCCCAATTAAGCTGCCTGATTGTTATTTGGGAATAGCTTCTTTAGGTCTTCCAATACCAACCGTGTGTGCTAAGGAAGTAAGTTGAGTTCACTGCTGGCTGTAGAAAGGAAACAGATCCTGAAAGAGTAAGGTAAACTCAGATTCTGCTACTTCCTTTTAGAAGTCATACAATGCAAAAAGCCTCAATGGCAGCCATTAACATATAGAAATAAAGGTTCAAAAGAACTTTTTTGTTGGTTCGTTTGAGACTGAGTCTTGCTCTGCTGCCCAGGCTAGAGTGCGGTGGCGCGGTCTCAGCTCACTGCAACCTCCGCCTCTAGGTTCAAGTGAGTCTCCTGCCTCAGCCTCCTGAGTAGCTGGGATTACAGGCGTGTTTGTATTTTTAGTAGAGACAGGGTTTCACCATGTTGACCATGCTAGTCTCCAACTCCTGACCTCAAGTGATCCCCCTGCCTCGGCCTCCCAGAGTGCTGCGATTACAGGTGTGAGCCACCTCACCCGGGCTCAAATGGCCCTTTAAGAGGCCATGTTCATTGGTAGACAACTGAAAAGAACTTAAATTGAAACGTATCAAACTGGTATCCAGATTGCATTTTCTGTAAAACTACAACTTACTATCCAATGCTAAGCTTGCTCTTGTCATCTGGGAGAAAAAAACCAGAGCTGGTTATAAAAATGTCTCTATCTATAACTAGGAGGAGAGTGCTCTCTCCAGAGGAGCCAAGTTAAGAACATGAAAACCAAATACAGGATTTTTCTTTTCCTATTCATTTTAGTGTCTGCACTTTCTAAGGAAGTGATGTTTTAAAAAAATCTTATAGATCCATTGCATTATTCAGATACTCACTTCTTAATTATACCTGCCTTATTAAAATACATATTCATCCTAAGCCAACTCCCCCAAGTTAACCGATTTTTTTTTTTTTTCTTAAATTAACTTCAGGTAGCTTTTCTTTTCTTTTTTTTTTTTTTTGAGATGGCGTCTTGCTTTGTCGCCGAGGCTGGAGTGCAGTGCCACGATCTTAGCTCACTGCAAGCTCCGCCTCCCGGGTTCACGCCATTCTCCTGCCTCAGCCTCCCATGTAGCTGGGACTACAGGCACCCGCCACCATGCCCAGCTAATTTTTTTTTGTATTTTTAGTAGAGATGGGGTTTCACCGTGTTAGCCAGGATGGTCTCGATCTCCTGACCTCGTGATCCGCCCACCTCGGCCTCCCAAACTGCTGGGATTACAGGCGTGAGTCACTGCATCCGGCCCTAACTTCAGGTAGCTTTTCTTTCATTAAGATAGTTTGGCCTGTAATCTTAGCACTTTGGGAGGCCAAGTAACTGATTTTTCTTACACATATTTTTGTCCTTTTCCTTTTTTTTTTTTTGTTTTTTTGTTTTGTTTTGAGATGGAGTCTTGCTCTGTCGCCAGGCTGGAGTGTAGTGGCACAATCTCAGCTCACCGCAACCTCTGCCTCCCAGGTTCAAGCGATTCTGCTGGCTCAGCCTCCCAAGTAACTGGGACCACAGGCGTGCACCACCACGCCCAGCTAATTTTTGTATTTTAGTAGAGACGGGGTTTCACCATGTTAGCCAGGATGGTCTCGATCTCTTGACCTTGTGATCCCCCTGCCTTGGCCTCCCAAAGTGCTGGGATTACAGGCGTGAGCCACGGCACCCAGCCTGTCCTTTTCCTTTTATTCAGTTGTATTAAATATATATATGTGTATATATATATATATTTTTTTTTTTTGAGGCGGAGTCTTCACTCTGTCGCCCAGGCTGGAGTGCAGTGGCACCATCTCGGCTCACTGCAAGCTCCGCCTCCCGGGTTCGCGCCATTCTCCTGCCTCAGCCTCATGAGTAGCTGGGACTACAGGCGCCCGCCACCGCGCCCGGCTAATTTTTTGTATTTTAGTAGAGACGGGGTTTTCACCGTGTTAGCCAGGATGGTCTCGATCTCCTGACCTCGTGATCCACCCGCCTCGGCCTCCCAAAGTGCAGGGATTACAGGCATGAGCCACCGCGCCCGGCCGTATATATATATTTTTTTCTTTTTCTTTTTTTTTTTGAGACGGAGTCTCGCTCTGTCGCCCAGGCTGGAGTGCAGTGGCCGCATCTCAGCTCACTGCAAGCTCCGCCTCCCGGGTCTATGCCATTCTCCTGCCTCAGCCTCCCGAGTAGCTGGGACTACAGGCGCCCGCCACCTCACCCGGCTAGTTTTTTGTATTTTTTAGTAGAGACGGGGTTTCACCGTATTTAGCCAGGCTGGTCTCGATCTCCTGACCTTGTGATCCGCCCGTCTCGGCCTCCCAAAGTGCTGGGATTACAGGCTTGAGCCACCGCGCCCGGCCTTTTTTTCTTTTTCTTTTTTGAGAAGGAGTCTCTCTGTTGCCCAGACTGGAGTGCAGTGGCACGATCTCGGTTCACTGCAACCTCTACCTCCCAGGTTCAAGCGATTCTCCTGTCTCAGCCTCCTGAGTAGCTGGGATTACAGGCACACACTACCACGCCTGGATAGTTTTTCTGTATTTTTAGTAAGTGATGGGATTTCACCATGTTGGCCAGGCTGGTCTCGAACTCCAGAATTAACTGTATTAAATATATTTAAAAGGCAAGGGCATTCTGTATTACATTACTAGAATACCTCTGCAGTTTGTACCCAACTTTACATTCTTTTACATTTTGCTCATCACCTGTCAGGAGAAAACCCTCCTTCCCCAGTCTCCACTGTCCATCATGATGATCTCCCCCATCAAATGAAAATAATTAAGAATACTTTTAAAAGCTGAAAATGCAACAACATTCCAAAATAAGAAAAAGAAAAACAAATGTAAGAAAAGCAAATAAGGAAAGCTTCACTATCACTTTCAATAATTTTCTAACCAGAAGAGAAACACTCATGGTTGCAAACAGCAATCACCTGTCATCATATAGCGCCTTTTACTGTCAAAACACTTTCACATCTATTCATTCTAGCTCCACTACAATCCTGTGAGGGAGGTACAGTAGGGATCATTAACTCTGTAAGTGGGGACAATACTAGTGAGGAAAATGAAGCAGAGAGATGTTAAAACACTTGTCCAAGGTCACACACTAGTTAATGGTAGCAAGTATCTGCAACCTTTGCCCTATGCTTTAAAGAGCAGCTAAAGGCCAAGGCATTACTGGCTGAAGCCAGAGATACCTGATGGTGCTCTGATCTCCACTATGCAAACTTTCTTACCCTTCTCTGGCCAACTTTTCCTCTTCTCCCATTATTTATTTTCTCATTCTGTTTTTCAGGTTTAACAGAGGATCCAAAAGTACTTCTTAACAACCCCTTTAATGACACTCAGGGCAAAAACGGTGTTGACTTAGGAACCGCAAAAGTGGCTATGAACATGAGGTCCAAGACGATACTATTACCAAAACACTTGTAGAACAGTCCTATCCAAAAGAATGTTCTATGATGATGGAAATGTTCTGTGTCTCTATTAACACGGTAGCCACAGGCATCATGACTACTGAGTGCGTGAAACGTGTCTGGTATACACCTGAAAAATTGAATTTTAAATTTTATCTAATCTTAGTTAATTTCAATTTACTAAACCACATGTAGTTACCATATTAGCACAGTTCTAGAGTCTTCTGACAACCTCTTGTGGTATTAGTGACAACATAAGTACCTTTATCATCAGTATAAATAGTATGATGCTTTTACTGGAATTTCTTCAGAAGCGGGACCATCATTCTCATTTAGTCTGATATATTTAGAAATTTCTTTTTCTTAGGGTTAAATAATAGTAGGTGGAGCAGAACACTCCATGGCATGTTTTTTGACTCTGCTTGAATAGATTGCACAAATCTGAGCAACCAAAAGATACTCCCGCAGATCGACTTGCCACCCAGATTTAGAATATAGGGCTTCCTCTAGATGTCTTTTTTCTTCTTTCCCACCAGTATCCATCACCCAAAGCAGTAAAGAATATAAATCTTAAGCACTTAAACCCTCAAATATAAGGCTTCCCGATCATAACTAAAGACACAGGTAAGCCACAGACCTTTATCCTCCCTTCTCTCATGAGGTACTCGTTTCCCCAAGCAGATTACACCTCCAACAGCACTCGAATGAATGCAAGAATCTCGCAGGATAAAGTAACCCACAGTCTGCGATTCTATGCAGTCGGTGAGCAACATCTTAGCAAACCTGAAAAGGGGAAGTGTTTGCTTCCCCAGAGGTAAACTATGCTTAAGAGCGGAAAACATAATCTATTATTTCCAGCTAAAACAGAATGAAAGAGACCACCCTGCCAGTTCTATAGTCTTGTGTTCTTGCCTGTCTTGAGCTAGACCCCACTCGGCTCTACTACCCAGGCCCAGAGCAGTTCACCTTGAAACTCTGTGTTGTCAAGGCCCCTGATGGCCTCCACTGCATCCTCTGCCCGCTCCATGTGTACGAAGGCATAATCTTTCACGATGTCACATTCGATGACCGGACCATACTCCTCAAACTTGGCTCGAAGCTCTTGGTTGGTACAAGTGGGGCTGATGTTACCCACGTGTAACTTGGTTGAAGCTTTGCTCTTATTCTTGCTGGCTTCCACGTTGATGTTCACCCCATGAAGCTTGTAATGGTGCAGGTTGCGTATGGCATCCTCAGCTGCCGTCTTGTCTTCTATGTGCACAAAGCCATAGTTCTTAATGATGTCACATTCCAGCACCTTCCCATACTGTTCGAAAAGAGAGCGAATCTCCTGCTCTGTGGCCTCCCGGGGCAGGTTTCCGATGAACAGCTTCACCATCCTGACAAGAGCCTGGGAGAGAAAAACAAGATTTCAAAAGTCAGGGGTGTGGTGGGAAATTTCGGTGCACTGCAGCATTTTCATCTAATCCTCCAAAGTTCTTGCACCTTCAGAGACCCTCGCATAGACATTCATTATTCTTCCTCAGTAGAAGGGCGGTTTGTTCTTGAGAAGTGCGAACTATGTGTGACATGGAAACAGGAGGTCGAGGGTCAGCATGCATAGCACAATCTATCACCTCTGTGAAATGGAGCGCAATGAAATACCAGAATTAGCTGTTTAATGTCTTAAAATGAGGAAAGAGAAAAGCCCAAGCAAAGGCAAGGGGTATCTATCGCAGTGCGCCTGGTAACAAGGTTTTGGAGGGAAATCTGTGTACCTCTCCTCCACGCACTAGCACCTTTCAAGATACACTAAAAGGAAAAAAGTCCCCTTTCCCTCTAACCGGGACCAACCACCCGCCCCCCAGCGGCCCACCCTCCAGCTTCTTCGCTCCAACAAAGACTCGACCCGACCCCTGCCCCGCCTCCTTCCGGAGACCCGGTCCCGCCTCCTCCCGTTGTCTCCCCGGACCTCCCGCAGCAAAATGAGAAACCCAAATCCCCGCCATGCCTTCTGCAGGAGGCCCGGCCCGGCCCGCCCCGCCCCGCCCCCGAGCTCCCCACATCACACACACAAGACCCCCTCGCACCTCCGGGTGGCGGCGGCGGCGGCGGCGGCTCCCGCGTCAGGGAGAACCCTACAAAATGGCGACGGGCGCTCGAGCCTCGACGCGACCGGGCCCTTTCTCGCGCGCCAGCTCACGCACCGGCTCACGCACGCGCGAGTACGCGCTGCTTCCCTCCCCTTCCCCTCGCGGGAGCCGAGTGACCAATCGCGAGGCTGCATACAAATGACCTCCCAACACGGGGGCGGGGCCTCTTGGTGGCGGCACAGCGCCGCGGAGGTCAGCCCACCCCCAGCCCCAGCCAGCCAGTCATCACCCTGGAAAGGATCGCCACTCCTGCGTCAGAGGGGCTCTGGACGCAACCACTGCCTAGAAAAGCGGAGGCCCCGGGGAGTCACTCACCATCACAATGGGTCCTGCTATTGGGCCCTCTGAGGAGGCCGGAGAGCTAATGACAAAGGGGAATCTCCCCGAGGGCCCTAAAAAGGGGCTTTCGTAGCGGGCTGGCCGGCCTCTGTGGCAGCTTGGGGCAACATTTCAGAAATACAGGCGCGCCACATTTTAAGCAAAACTAGTTATTGTTTTGTAGCGCTTTAAACATTATTTTAGTGTTTCATTACGGACGTGTTATTTATTGGTACGGAAACTGAGAACGAAGGGGCAGAAGGATAACCTGGCAAAACTAGGACAGGCCTAAGAGGCATTGCTACCCAGGCTACGCTTAGTCATGTTTTGTTTGCTCGTGAGTATCCGTGGTCTGGTTCTCTTTCATTGTGTGTCCATCACAGTCCTGGTCTGTGGTGAACACACGAGAGGAATACTTGGTGGAGAGGCCCAGCGAGGTCTCTAGTTAAGGGTGGGACAGGGTCTCCTCGTCCACACCACGCTGGAAGTCTAGGCTACTGTGAGTTTCCCAACTGTCTAGCATTGAGAATTCAGCTGTGGTCCAAGGGCACCTCCTAGCGGTAAAAACAAGCTTAGGCGGGCCGGGCGCGGCGGCTCACGCCTATAATCCCAGCACTTTGGGAGGTTGAGGCGGGCCGATCACGAGTTCAGTAGTTCGACACCAGCTTGGCCAACATGGTGAAATCCCGTCTCTACTAAAAATACAAAAAATAGCCGGGCATGGCGGCGGGCGCCTGTAATCCCAGCTACTCGGGAGCCTGAGGCAGGAGAATCGTTGGAACCCGGGAGGCGGAGGTTGCAGTGAGCCGAGATGGTGTCACTGCACTCCAGCCTGGGTGACAGAGCAAGACTCGGTCTGGAAAAAAAAAAAGTTTAGGTGGATTCCCCAACTGTCACCTTCCAACAAAGAGTAGCCTTTTATGGAGATTGATGGATTGGGTTTATCTCGTGGAGCCTGCCAGGGAGATTGTCAGCCACCATTCCTCATTGTAGTGGCTCCATAATGGCTTCTCTGATACCATCAGGCACACATTCCCCAGGCTGCCTTCTTCCACCCCAGCTACTTGGATATATTCTATCCCTGAGTTCCTTTTGTTTCTCAGCCATTTCAGAAGAGGCACTGTCCTTCCGATTTTATTTTATTTTTATTTTTCAATTTTTTAAAGACAGAGTATCGCTGTGTCACCCAGGCTGGAGGGCAGTGGTGTGATCTCGGCTTACTGCAACCTCCACCTCCCGCGTTCAAGCCATTTTCCTGCTTCAGCCTCCCCAGTAGCTGGGACTACAGGTGTGCGCTACCACACCCAGCTAATTTTTGTATTTTTAATAGAGACGGGGTTTCACCATGTTGGCCAGGCTGGTGTCCACTGGCCTTGGCATCCCAAAGTGCTGGGATTACAGGCATGAGCCACCACGCCCGGCCCTTAACTGTTACTACTATTATTTTTGAGTCAGGGTGTCACTTTGTTTTCCAGGCTAGAGTGCAGTGGGACCATTATGGCTCACTGTAGCCTCAACCTCCCAGACACAAGTGATCCTCCTATCTTAGCCTCTGGAGCAGCTGGGACCACAGGTGTGGGCCACCCCATCCAGCTAATTTTTAAAATGTTTTTGTAGTGATGGGGGTCTCCCTGTGTTGCCCAGCCTGGTCTCAAACTTCTGGGCTCAAGATGGTTCCACTGCAGTCTCACAAAATGCTGATTACAGGTGTGAGCCACTGCACCCGGCTTACTATGTGCTTCTAATTTAAAACAGCACTATCCTATGTTAATATCATCTACTGTTTATGCCCAAATTTCTCCTGGATTGTTACAAATGTCTTTTTACAGTTGATTTCTTCTAATCTGGACTTAAACGTTGTACATTTGTATAAATTATGTAAATGGTGTGTTTTGAGTTGTATAGCTCACTGTGCCTTACTATTTTTCCACTAAGGGCTGTGTCGCCGCATGATACCTCACTAGTGAGTAATGCAGTCCTCCGTGGTGTACAGTCACAGATTGTACCTGTTCATCTCTGGGCATAGGACGCTCAGCTTGCTTCCAGCTCTCTGTCATTATAAACAGGGCTGCAGTGAACATGCTTAAGTATGTGCGCTAATTCTGTGTGAGAATTTGGGGGGATATAAACCCAGAGGGGGACTTGCTGGGTCATAGAGTATACGTAGAACTCACCTGTCTAAGTAGCGCCGAATTGTTCTCCGGAAAAGCTGCACCAGCAAACTCTTCCACCTGCAGCATATGAGGGGCCTTGTATCTCTGCGTCCCTCCTGTGATGACATTATCTGCTTTTCTAATTTTTGTCAGTCTGATGGATATAAAGTGATATTTCATTGTTGCTTTAATTTGTATTTCTCTGGTTACTAATGATTTTAAGCATCGCTTCTTGTCTGTTTTTTTTTGAGATGGAGTCACACTCTGTCGCTCAAGCTGGAGTGCAGTGATACTATCTCGGCTCACTGCAGCCTCTGCCTGCAGGGTTCAAGCGATTCTCCTGCCTCAGCCTCCTGAGTAGCTGGGATTACAGGCATGCGCCACCACCACACCCAGCTAATTTTTGTATTTTTAGTACAGATGAGGTTTCACCATATTGGTCAGGCTGGTCTTGAACTCCTGACCTTGTAATTCGCCCACCTTGGCCTCCCAAAGGGCTGGGATTACAGGCGTGAGCCATCACGCACAGCCTTTTCTTTTTTTTTTTTTTTTTTTTTGAGACGGAGTCTTGCTCTGTCGCCCAGGCTGGAGTGCAGTGGCACAATCTCAGCTCACTGCAACCTCCGCCTCCCGGAGTTCAAGCAGTTCTCCTGTCTCAGCCTCCCGAGTAGCTGGGACTACAGGCACGCATCACCATGCTTGGCTAATTTTTGTATTTTTAGTAGAGGCGGGGTTTCACCACATTTGTCAGCTGGTCTCGAACTCCTGACCTTAGGTGATCCACCCACCTTGGCCTCCCAAATCGCTGGGGTTAAAGGCATGAACCACTGCGCCCAGACTTGTTTTTTGTGAAAGGGTTTTGCTTTATCATGCAGGCTGAAGTGCAGTGACACAATCATAGCTCACTGTAGCCTTGAGCTCCTGGGCTCAAATAATCCTCCTGCTTCAGGAGGCTGAAGCCCTCAGGCCTCAGCCTCCCAAGTAGCTAGGACTATATGCCCACCTAATTTTTTTGTTTTTGGTAGAAACGAGGTCTCACTATGTTGCCTGGGCTATTCGAACTCCTGGCCTCAAGTGATCCTCCCACTTCAGCCTCCCAAATCACTAGGGTTACAGGTGTGAGGCACTACACCTGGCCTCTTGATTTTTCAAGTTTATGCTTCTGTAAATTTCCTGTTTATATCTTTTGCCCATCTTTCTTTTCAGGTTGCAGGCTCCTTTTTTGTTGTTGATTTGTAGGGCTTTTTCGTATATTCTAATCTCTTATTGGTCTCAAATACCATCTCTCGGAATGAGATGGAATTCCACTAATTATTAACTCTGTCCATGGTGTCCTTCACTGAACAGAAATCCTTATTTCTTGTGCAATGAAATTAATTTTTATCTTAAAGCTGTGCTTTTGAACTTTTTTTTTTTTTTTTTGAGACAGCCTGTTGCCCAGGCTAGAGTGCAGTGGTGTGATCATGGCTCACTGCAGCCTCAACCTCCCGGGCTCAAGCAATCCTTCCACCTCAACCTCCCAAGTAGCTGGGACTACAGTTGGGTGCCACCATGCCTGGCTAATTAAAAAATTTTTTTGTAGAGATGAGGTTTCGCTGTGTTGCCCAGGCTGGTCTTGAACTTCTGAGCTCCAGTGATCCTCCCATCTCGCCTCCCAAAGTGCCGAGATTGCAGGTGTGATCCACTGCACCTGGCCTGCTTTTGAACTTTTGTATAAGATGTTCTTCTGTAGCCTCCTTAGTCACAAGATATTCTCCTACATTTTAGTCTATTAACGTTATGTTTTTGTTTTTGTTTTTTGGGGGATGGAGTTTCGCTCTTGTTGCCCAAGCTGGAGTGCAGTGGTGTGAGCTGGGCTCACTGCAACCTCTGCCTCCAGGGTTCAAGCCATTCTCCTGCCTCAGCCTCCCGAGTAGCTGGGACTACAGGTGTGCGCCACCACGCCCGGCTAATTTTTGTATTTTTAGTAGAGATGGGGTTTCACCATATTGGCCAGGCTGGTCTCGAACTCCGGACCTCATGTGATCCACCCTCCTTGGCCTCCCAAAGTGCTAGGATCACAGGCGTGAGCCACCGTACCCGGCCTATTAACATTATATTTTTTACCTTTTGCATTTAGATCTGGAGCCCATTTACAGCAGTGCTATCCAATAAAAATACAATGTTAGCTATGTATGTAATTTAAAAATTTCCAGCAAACACATTAAAAAAGTAACCAGAATAGTTGAAACTCACTTTAATGATACTTTTGAAACCCAATATATCTAAAATATTATTAAAACACATAATCAATATAAAAATTAAGGTATTTAAAGTTGTTGTCCTCTTCCATGCTTGATGTCTGATGTTTCAGAGCCACGGCACACTTGGTTTGGCTACATCTCAGTAGCCACACATGGCTGGTGGCTGCTGCTGTGGACAGCATGGACCTAAAGTCCACTCTTGTAGGTGATGTTAAAAATGCAAATATATTTTTCACTACATAATTAATCCTTTTTTTTTTTTGAGACAGGGTCTCACTTTATTGCCCAGACTGGAGTGCAGTGGCATGATCTCAGCTCACTGTAACCTCTACTTCCAAGGTTCAAGCAATGCTCCTGCCTCAGCCTCCCAAGTAGCTGGGACTACAGGTACGTGCCACTACACCTGGCTAATTTTTGTAGAGATGGGGTTTCACCATGTTGCCCAGGCTGGTCTTGAACTCCTGAGCTCAAGTGACCCACTCACCTTAGCTTCCCAAAGTGTTGGGATTATAAGCGTGAACCACCATGCCTGGCCAAGTAATCCATTTTTATGTGCCATCTCTCTCCATTGATTTGTGGTGCTGGCATTTATTGTATTTTCGTGTTTAACTTGTCTCCTATCACTCACCGCCTCATTCCATCCTGTTGCCTTTCCTGGAAGTTTTTCTTTCTTCCACTCACAGCTGAAGGTGTTTTCTGACTTAATTCCTGACACTGTGCTTCCCCTCTTCTATGTCCTATTCTTAAGCAATCATGCCCTGAAGTGCTTCTGCTGCCACATTTGCAGATGCTGCTCGGAGCCTTCAGTCTCACCTCTGTGTTCACAATACCTGCCCCTTCTGAGGGACTGCTTCAACTGGCTGTCCTATTTACACTTACATATCACATTAAAATAATCATTTCTCCATACACATTTCCTTCTAACATTTCCAAGTATTGTTTCCCTTCAACCCCCCCGCAGGCTTGCCACCTTGGAGTGCAAATACCTAGATTCCCTGAGCACCCCCAAGGTATGACTGTCTCTTCAAACAGTGGAGAGTTTACAGTTGTATTTGAAGAAGAGATGCCTGTGTAGTGCTGATGGATTCTTCCACTTAGTCCCATGACAGATTGTTCTAGTTACATGTATCTACCTGTTGGCTGTGGAACAGTAAATCTGCCCATCTTAAGGGGGAAATTATCCTGCAGGCTCTCTGGTCTACCAGATCTCAGGTTTGGAGCCCACTCTGGGGCTATGAGGGCTAGTTCTGGGCCTGCACACACCTGACTCGGTCTTCGCCATGGCTGATGATAGTCAGGCCCGCAGTCAATGACGCTGAAGGCGGGGCTGCCTTCCTGGAAAAACGGTTGTCTGTGTGTATAGAACCAATGAGAGAACACACTCTTCCTGCTGGAGGCCACCAAGGAGTGGCCACTTCCATCAACATCGGGAGACAAACACCCTGCCCTGAAAGCTCCGATTGCCAAGCCAGAGACAAAGGAGAAGCCACCAGCTCCTTTTTAATACTTCACCAGATCCAGAAGGTAGTCTGGAATTCGAGACTGACCTGGGCAACATAGTGAGACCCCGTCTCTACAAAAAATAAACAAACTTAGTTGGGTGTGATGGTATGTGCCTGTGATTCAGGCTACTCGGGAGGCTGAGGTGGGAGGATTGCTTGAACCTGGGAGGTGGAGGTTGCAGTGAGCTTTGATTGCGCCACTGCAGTCCAGCTTGGCTGACAGAGTGAGACTCTGTCTCAAAAAAAAAAAAATATATATATATATATATGTGTGTGTGTGTGTGTGTGTGTGTATATATATATATAAAATCCTCTGTGTGTGTATTTACACATTTGGGCTGTAAAGTTACCTCATGGCTTCCCAGAGTGACTTCATTCTGTTGGTCAGTTTATTGGAACCTGCCACTTCTCTGATCCCTGTCTGAGCTCCCTTGATCTACTGGAGAGCAGACAGCAAGTGGGGGCAGTAAGCACCCGCTATGTGCTCAGCTTTCCACCACTGGGCTGAGCAGTGGCTGAGACTGGCTGGGGGCTGTAGCAATGCTTCCCAGTCTTCCAATTTGAAAACAGTTTAGAGACTCACAAGTGAAGAAAACTGTGCACCAGGGAAGGAGTCCTCATTGCTTTTTAACATGAATACTGCTTGGTGACATCATCCCAACCCATGGGGAACTACTTTGGTCTAAAAAGAGGCTTGGCATTGGTCAACCCAGCACACTGGAGGTCACTGTCACAGGGAAATGAGACTGGGTCAGGGAAGCTCTCAATGTGACACAGCTCTTCAAGAGCTTGGAGGCTGGGGCAGAGTGGAAACGTGAGATGCAGGAGACCAGAACCAAGGGAGAGGACATGGGCTTGGGCAGAGAGGCTTTGGTCAGGAAAGCAAAGACACCCAGAGGCAGTGAGAGAAGCTGAGCTGTTTAATCACCTCCTTGGCCAGACTCAAGGCGGTGGCTGTCCCTGAACAACACACCTTGAAAGCCATTGAGAGCAGCTGGAGATGGAGTGGCAGCTGGAGTTAGAGGGTGGGGGTGGGGAGGGAGGGCTCCTGCGCCTGTCATCTGGCACTCCTGCCCCCAGGGCCTGCTTCAGCTCTGAGAGGTTCCTGGCTGGTCCCAGGGGTGAGGAACCAGAAGGCAGAAGGCGAGTGCCCTCGCTATGGTGGGAGAATGACCCTGAGGCAGGGGCAGTCACTCCCCACATGGCCTATGTTGAGGGTGCAGCACTGTCCGCACCTTGGTGAGGGACAGAGGCACGAGACTGGGGAAAGAGGGGAGAAGTCGGCGGGGGTGGGAGAGGGGGTTGCCTGGGTCCCACCACCAGTCTGGAATTAAACAGCAGAAGAGAAGGGCTGCCCTTGGGAACACGGACTTGTCCCCAGTGACAGTTCCTGGTGATGGGTTGACCTTGGCAACAGACCCTAGCAGCAGGCAGTTGTCCTGACAAGAGGGTGGTCCCTGTTGACTGTCCCTGGCAGTTTCCTGAACGGAGGGAAGGAGCTGGCCTGGGACCTTGCCCCCAGCTACTTGTTCTTCTTGAAGAAGCTGAAGCGTTTTTCTCGCTCTCGTTCTCTGCCGTCTTTGCTGCGGAGCACAACAGGCCCCTCAGCCCCGACAGGTGACACTGGGGGCATGGTCATGGCCCGGGTCATGCCCCGGGTGGTGCTGGGCACCACCGGCTCTTCGGGCTCTCCAGAGGCAGAAGATGCAGTGGCAATGGCTGCGTTCACCACCCGTAGCCACGAGCTCATCTCTGCCTGTGGACGGAAAGACCCTTGGTCAGCTTTAAGGATGCTCCGCTGGGGTGGCCACGGTGGACAGCAGGGAAGTGTGAGAGGAGGAGGCAGAAAGTGAGCTGACTGTTTCATGCTATTAGGAGAATGCAGCCGGCTTAGACAGGGAGTGCGGCCTGGTGCGGCTGTCACACACATCCAGTCTTACCACAAAGGACGAGACCAGGAAAAAGAGGGAGGACGGGGAAGGAAGGGGAGTCTGCAGCTGGAGGGTTCTGGAATGGCACGGACAGAGAGGAACACGGAGGACAGCTCACCTCATCCTTGGCCTGGAATAAATATTCTTTTCCATCCTGTAAGCTGTTGGGAGAGAGAGGCCACAGGGCAGAGCTGAGAATCTGGATGTGCCAGGTCGCTGCTGGTGAGAGCGCAATCATGACCCAACACCGGGCTGGGACATCTGGCTGCAGCCCTCGGAGCCGGACCAGACATGCTCTGCACATTCTTCAGTCTTCCCCGACTGCAGAAGCACATCCTTTCTGACTGGCCACAGAGGCAGGGGGAGCTCACTTCCACCCCAGCCTGGGCCTCCTGCTCCAGCTGCTTGCTGGCAGGCAGGGACAGCCCCCTGGAGGTCTTGCCAGATCCCTGCCTTTGGATTTCCCACCCTGGGTAATTTTTCACCTTGGCATCGGCAGCCATCAGGCCTGGGTCTTGGTTCTCCTGCTCCCCTTGGTGTGGAGACAACCAGAATCCCTGCCTCCCTCATCTACACTGTCCCCAAGTGGCTGGCCTGGTTACTCTACTCAGGGGTTCCTTACAGGAACTCCCCTCCCTCTGGACCCGACTCACGGCTCACCTGTGCCACTCCCAACTCTCCTCCCATCCCGAGAGCACTGTTTCCTGTTCCTACCCCAGCTTGAAGACGTGTTTGCGCTTTCGGTAATCAAAGGCGACACTGCCCTGGGCCCTGGCCAGGCTGACAGGCACTTCTCCGTGGTATGGCACCCCCGCACTGGCTGCCTTGGCATCCTTGTAAAAGCCGAGGCTCCCACGCCGCAGGACACAGTACACGTTCTGCCAGGACCTGCGAGGGACATGGTGCTGACTGGTTGGCCTCGGTGGCTCCTGCTACCCGGGGCCCTCTTGGGTATCCTAGGACTTCCAGTTCTGCTCCCATCTTTAGGCCATGGTCTTCACACCCTCTGGTCCTCCCCTGAGGCCCTGCTCTGGTCCCAAGTCCTACCCTTTGCCCAGAAGATGTACTTTAAAGGGCATCCCTTCCTCTATCTGGGCAGAGGCTCTGGGGAAATCCCCTCTGAGGGCAGGCTCCGGAGAGGCTGTACCTGTTGGCAGCCTTCTTCCCGAAGGCCTCCATCTCTTGCTTGCGACACAGTACCCCCTCCATCTGCTCCTGGGCAGATGGCTCTGGGCCTCGAGGAGGCAGGGTGGCAGCGTGGGCTGACTCGGTGGACCTGCTCTGGGGCATCGCAGGTGGGGCCGCGCCCCGAGTCCGGGTCTGCCTGTCTCCCCGGGGCCCATTGGCTTCGTCCCCTGGGCCAGGTCCCTAGGGGGGAAATCAGTGTCAGTGTCAAAGGATGAGATGGGAGATCCCTAACCTGGGTGCCAGGAAGCTCCGTGTCCAGGAGTTGGTCTTCCTGCCCCCAAGCTGCCCGTGAGCCTCTGCCCTCTCACATCCCATCCCCAGTACTCCCCCACCCCACTCACCACCCCTTCTGGACCCTTCGCCTCCCAGTTATCAACACCCACACTTGCAGGGGAACTCACTGGCCCTTCGGGGGAGCTGCTGTCCTCAAGTCTCTGTTGTCCCAGCAGGGGCTGCAAGAATAAGAATCTGTAAAAGGATATGCAGGGGTGGAGGGGCTACGACTCCGATGGGGGAACAGGGGACAGTGGGGTCACCTGTGAGGGCTCTCCATCTGTGCAGACTCCATTAACACTGGGGGCTTGTGTGGATGGTGGTGGCCGTAGCTGGGTTCTGGGATGACCAAAGACAACACAGGATCATTAGTCCCTGGGTGGCCTGGGCTCAGCCTCTTCCTCCTACCCCAGGCGTCCTGGCTCTCACCTGTCCCAGGTGGTGTCAGGAGCCGTCTGGCCGCCCACCAGGTCCCCTGGAGGCACACTGGCTGTGGGTTCAGGAGCAGGCGGCTGTTTCCTTCGCTCCTCCTCCTCCCTCTTTCTCTTCCGCTCCTTCTCCCGCTCCTCTAGCTGCATTCAGCGTGTAGAAAGTCGCGTGTAAGAGGGCCAGGGAAATAGGGAGAGCTGAAATGTCTCAACTCTGATTTGATGAAATATGATAAAAGGAGAACAGAATTCGAGAAGACGGTGGGGACAAGAGACAAAATGGGAGAAGGTGTCTCAGCCTCACCCAGGGGAACTGACACCTCCTAAAGGTGTGGTGACAACGGCACGCTCAGCTCACATCTGGGAGCCACTGGTACAGTGGCAAGAGAGAAGACATGTCTTCTCCAAGCAGAAGCAAGCATGGGTCGGGGGAGCAGGTTGGGGGTGGGCATCTGGGGTCCTGTGTCCCTCACCGCAGTAAGCTTCTCTAGCGCACAGAATCGTTCCTCCCAGGCCACTGCTGACTTCTGGAAGGCCTCGTGCCGCTTGATAAGGCTCTCAACTTCATCAACCGTGCAACCCAGCTCAGCGCTGCGCACCAGCGGCTCCTGGCTGCAGAGCCAGGCCTCTGCCATCCCTGCATCTCTTCCAAACACGAGCACCTCCAAAACTGGTGGGATCAGGGGTCACAGGAAGATGGTGGGTCAGAGTGGCCACTGGCAGGGCACAGTGGCCATGGCAACCTCAAGAACAGGGACACAGAGAAAGCCACTGCCCCAGAGCTGTGCCAGGCAGCGCCAAGGTTGGACATCGTGAGTTTCACACCCAGGGTTCCTGGTCTCACCTACTCTGGAAACCACAGGGTGCAGAATGCCCCCCCCTCCCCACAGCACCTGGGGCCCCCTCAGCAGCTCACCCAGCTGAAGCCAGTCCATCTTCTCCTGCCACTTCTCGGCCGTCTCCTGGCGCCGTGCCTGCAGCTGAGACAGCTTCTCTGAGATCTGGGGGGCAGAGATATGAGTTAGCACCAGGATGTGAGGTCTTTCCAGGGCCCCTGGGGAGTCACCCAGGGCGACAGATAATTTCTTTCTTTTTTTTTTTGAGACAGAGTTTCACTCTTATCGCCCAGGGAATGGTGCAATCTCAGCTCACTGCAACCTCACTGCCTCCCAGGTTCAAGCAATTCTCCTGCCTCAGCCTCCGAGTAGCTGGGATTACAGGCACCCACCACCATGCCTGGCTAATTTTTGTGTTTTTAGTAGAAATGGGGTTTCACCATGTTTCATCACAGCCTAGCCACACAACCCTTGGAGGCCAGGCTGGTTTCGAACTCGTGACCTTAGGTGATCTGCCCGCCTGGGCCTCCCAAAGTGCTGGGATTACAGGCATGAGCCACCATGCTTGGTCCAGGACCAGTGATTTCTGATGTCAAAAGGCAGACGGTTCTCACATTTCCAGAATGCAAGAAACCCCTGAATGGCACTGAGGGGAGAGAATGAAAAATTTCTTGCAAAGAAAGAATGAGAGGAAGCAGAAAGCTGCCAAGAAGTCAGCGTTCAGCACTGCCCAGTGAGAATGGCCCGGCCACCCGGGCCTCACCCACCTCCTCGGCCGCATAGTGGCTCCTGGCCAGCAGCTCCTTCCCCATGTCGATGCAGGAGGAGAAGCGGTCTGCCCGGGCCTCTATCTCTGCCTTGATGCCTTGCTGGTTCTTGATGACTAGATCCGCGGAGGACACATCCCTGGGGGGAGGCAGAAACAGCATCATCTGCTGCCCACAGTCCCATCACAGCCCAGCCACACAACCCATGGAGGCCCCGGGCCCTAGGGTTCTCACCGGGGACGCTCCTGGGCATCCATCTGCAGGTTGACCTCATCCATCCAGAGCATCAGTTCCCGGACAGCCTTGAAGAAGCGGAACTTGTCCGTGGTGTCCAGCAGCAGCTGCCGGCGGGCGGCAGAGCTTCCCTGAAGCTGAGCCCAGGCCTCAGCCACGGCCTGCATGTGGCGGCCGATCTCCTCAGCCTTGTCTCCAGCATATGCCTTCTGGAGCCGGTGGCCATCGTCCTGCACCTGCTGGACCTGTGGGGCCCCGGGTCAGAGTCAGGCAGAGCAGGGGACTCCAAGGAGCCGCAGCCTGCCTCAGTTCTGGCTGCCCCTCTCACCTCCTGCTGCCTGTCTCACAGCCAAAGCAGCAGGGGGAGGAGCCAGGGAGTGGGGGTGCTGGGAAAGATGAAGGCAGGTGCTTGGCCACACTCTGCCCTATTGGGTCTCATCTGGGAACCTGGGCTTAACTTGGGGAGGATCTGGAAAAGGGCCATTGGCCAGTTGAACTTTCAGAGGCCTGTCTAGGATGTTATGGACCTTGGAGATTGGTAGAACGAGACACTTAGCCTGAAGAGGGGATTCAGGCAGGGGCTGATGGGTTTTAGTGGTTGAGGGAAGGATCCATGCTTACTGAGTGTGGGCCTAGAGCTCAAGCCTGGGAAGCACCAACAGGCAGATTTAGCAGAGCATGAAGAGTCTCCTGGCCACTGGGAACCCCTGAAGACATCATGGGCTCTCAAGGGGGCTTGTCATTAAAAGTGTGAATGCAGTGGCTAGATGTCCCCTGCCAGAGATAGTTTCTTTCTTTTTGAGACAAGTTTCGCTCTTGTTGCCCAGGCTGGCGTACAGTGGTGTGTACAACCTCTGCCTCCCAGGTTCAAGTGATTCTCCTGCCTCAGCCTCCTGAGTAGCTGGGATTACAGGCATGCGCCACCAGGCCCAGCTAATTTTGTATTTTTAGTGGAGACAGGGTTTCTCTATGTTGGTCAGGCTGGTCTCAAACTCCCAATCTCAGGTGATCTGCCCTCCTCGGCCTCCCAAAGCGCTGGGATTACAGGCGAGAGCCACCGTGCCCAGCCAAACAGAGATGTTTCCTTGGAGCAATTTCCTCATCTCGAAATGGCCCTCCAAAGGGTGCCATCCTCCCAGCATCTCTGAGCTCTGCCCTAGCTCCTGGGAACGCTCCCCGGCATTTCCCCCTTGGCCTCCTCTAAGCCTCCCCCACCTCCGCATGCTTGGGTCAGACCTGGGCGCTGAGGGCCTGGATGTCGTGCTCGTAGGCACAGTGTCGGCGCTGTAGGGCCTCGGCAGCGTTGAGGTCGCGGCCAGTCCCGTCCGGAAGCTGCTGCTGCTTGTGCTGCACCCGCGCCAGGGCTTGGCGTGCCCCGTGCAGGAAGCGCTGCAGCTCGTATGCCGCGGCCAGCACCTGACCCCGCGTGTCCAGCAGCTCAAGCAGGTCAGCCCAGGCTTCGTTGAGACTGTCCTTCCACTCGGCCACAGTGGCCCGTGCGGCATGGCCCCCAGCAATGAGCCCATTGGCCAGTGCATTGGCGCTATCTACGCGCTCCTGACCGATGGTGCTCGTGTCCCGGGAGAACTCTCGGAATTTGTCTCGGAGCATCTGGTAGAGGAAGCAGATGGACAGACCATGCTGTGATGTTGGGGGATGTGGTCCCTGCCTGATGGGGCAAGTCCTCCACTCCAAACTCAGAACCCACCTCTCCCCGCTGGCCACAGGGCCGGGACAGGTTTCCCCCCGGTGGTTAAGGAGCAGGCATGGTTGCTTCCCACTGACCCTGTATTCGACAGGCGCCCTCCACCCCCGGCAAGGGGGTTTCGAGGTGCTTGGGACCCTCAGGCCTCAGACAAGAATCCCCTAACTATGGCCCATATTTCTGTACGACAGAAGCTCCAAGCCCCCAAACCGTGGAGGGGATCATACCCCATTTTGTTGAATTCTGTTGAAAAGTGTGAGTGATAATTTCCTATTTGCCCTTGTCTCAGCTCAGCTTCATGTCCCCTTTCTGCACAATTCTTCAAATTGTGTGTGTGTGTGTGTGTGTGTGTGTGTATTTAGAGATGGGGTCTTGCTCTGGAGTCCACTAGCGCAATCACTGCAGCGTCGACCTCCTAGGCTCAAGAGATCCTCCCACCTTAGCCTCCTGAGTAGCTGGGCCTACAGTCCCGCACTGCCGTGCCTGGCTAATTAAAAAACATTTTTTTTGTAGAGATGGGGGTCTCACTATGTTGCCCAGGCTGGTCTCAAACTCCTGAGCTCAAGTTATCCTCCTGCCTCAGCCTCCCAAGGTGCTAGGATTACATATGTGAGCCACCATGCCCAGCCTCTTCAAATCATATACCTCAAAATCAGGAGGGCAGTGCCTGCTTAGCCTGGTCTTGTCTCCTGGCCCCCCAGTGCTCTGCCTGCGACCAGCTCCTAGTCTCCCTGTGGGTCCTCCACTCTTCCCATGGCTGATCTGAGCTGGGTGCTCTCCCTACACTCACAGTCACATGCTCATAGTCCTGGCCCAGCTCGTGGGAGGCCGCCACGACCTCGCGCTCCTGGATCCACTGCTCTAGGTCATCCAGCTCGCGGCGGAGCTGGCACAGCCGGAGGTGCTCCTGCAGGCGCTCCCGCCGCTCTCCCGCCAGCTCCTTCAGGCCGGCATACAGCTTGTCCACCTGGGCTTGGCGGATGGATATCCGCGTGCTGCAGAAAGAGTGGGAGAGGCACTGTGGGACTTAGGGGTGTAGCTCTGACTTCCGGCCTGTTCTGTGGAGCCCTGTCCCTCAGGGCTCCCAACAGCTCACCCACCCTGCACTCCAGCTTTCTAGGAGGCTCCATGCACACAGCACTGAAGGCTCCACATTCCCTGCACCTTCCTGTTCCTGCAGCCAGCTCCTCCCCTAGGCTGGGCCGGGCTGCCGCTGCACCCACCTCTCTGGGTGCTCATGGTCAATCATGTCCTGGCTGCTGGCTGCCAGCTGGTGGATGGTCTGCGCGTAGTCGGCCAGGGCTTGCTCCAGCACCTGGTGCTTCTTCACCTCTGCCTGGGCACTCAGCTCATCCTGGGGGAAGGGACGGTGGGAGGGGACAGTGGCATCAAGCAGCGGGTCGGGGGAGGGCAGAACTGGCCACATACACCAGGCTGTGTCCTGGCCCTCACCTTAGCCTTCTCCTGGCCCATCATGTGTAATTCCTGCTCGCCCATCCAGGCCTCCGCCTCAGCGGCATCACGGTAGAACTGCTGGGCTCGCAGGGCCTCCTCGAGTCGCTTCCCTCGAAGTTCCAGCTCGTGGCCCAGGCGTTTCCACATTTCCTGCAGCTGGGCCAGCTCTGGGCCTGCTGCTGCTGCACCTAGAGCACGCTGCCGCTCCCTCAGGTCCGCGATCCGGGGCTCATGGCCCTGAATCTCCTTCTGCAGAGTCTGCCCATGGCCACAGAAGAGAAAATGCTGAAAGGCCTGCCGCAGCCCCACATGCTCCTGGAGACCACCCTTCACCCCGTGCCTCTCTCCTTCCTGGGTCCTCTGCTCCCTCTCCTAGCTGGGGGTGCGATGGTAACACGCCTCAGCCCCCCAGCCCCCACTATGTCCCACTGAGAGGACCCACCCTCCTGAGGTGAGGAAAGACAGCCACTGAAGTCCAGGGTTACACTCAGCATTGAGGGGGGCCTGGTCTTAAGAAAAAACACACGTCCAAGTCTGGGGAGGCTCCTGGGAACTTCTCTTTTGCCTTCAGCCTCTGCCTCACCTGGTTTTTCTTCATGAGAAGCTGGACACTGGGTAGGTCCTTGCCATGCTCCATGGAGCTGGCCATGGGCAGCCGCTCTGTCACCCACAACTGGAAGAGGAAGAGGCGGTCAGTGGAGGCCCAGAGGGCAAGGCAAAAGCACCAGGGACTTTTAGTGGGAGTGGGGACACCTGGGGCTACCTCCATGTGTGTAGGGAACGGTCATCTCTGGTTCTGGGGGGCATCCCCAAGTCTCCCTAGAGGGGACATGGTCAATGCCAAAGAGAAGAGGGAACAGAGCCCTGCTGGCATCTCCCTGGCATTGAGGAGGGAGGCTGGAAAGCCACGTGGCTGGGGGCAGCTTGCTGTCCTTGGCCCCAGGGACTCACAATCTCATCCTCCACGTCCCGGTGGAACTGGTGCTGCTCGCGAGAAGCCTGCAGGCGCCGGCAGCGTTCCTGCATGGGCTGGCACAAGGCCCTGAACTTCTCTTCCACAGCCCTCGAGGTCCTCTCCACCTCCCCTGCACCCTGGTCCTCCTGGGCCAGCGCTTTGGCCTGGGCCTGAATTGCCTCCACCTCCTTCTCTCTCACAGCCATCTCCCATTCCAGCATCTGCAAACCGCCAGGAGGAAGGACATGTTAGCTCTGCATTTCCGCCTTCACGCCCAGCAGAGACACCAGTCTCTATCCAGCCCACTGTGGCTGCTTATCACTGCAGCTCACCCAGGGAGAGCATCCCCTCGTGGGCTGGATCAGTGGATCTCCAACTTTATACACACGAGAGTCCAAGGGCAGGGGGTGAAACAATCTCTATTGGGTACTGTGCTTACTACATGGGTGATGGGTTCAGTTATGCCCCAAACTTCAGCATCACACAATATAACCTTATAACAAACCTGCACCCACACCCCCAAATCTAAAAGACTGAGATTAAAAAATCCAGGGTAGTGTGATAACTGTGCCCATTATCAACTCATTGTCTCTCCATCCCCAATCCATCATGGCCCTGCTTTGAGACACTGGAACTGGTCCCTGAAAACATTCCTCCTTTGCCAGCGGGCACAATCTAGACCTTGTCAGCAGAGGGCGCTGGAGGGACACCACAATGCCTAGCAGATGAGGGGCGTGCCACGGTTCCAGCGTGTTTTCCTTCCTCCTACAGCAAAACTGTCCACAGTGCGCAAGAGATTCGGTGGCTCTGAACTCTCTGGCAAGTTTTGCTGCACTCCAGTGGCTACTTCCTGCTGGTCAGCCTTGGCTTGCTGGCTTCAGACCTGCTCTGGCCTGTGATACCCCAGCAAATTTCCAGGCCATTCAGTGGGCCTCTGCCCTCTCCAAGGAGGTCTGAGACTCAGCCATCTTGCTCCTTCCTGGAGGACTCCTCCACCCCAGAGGTGTCAGCTGCTCACTACACTTCCCATTCTGCATTCTTTAGAGCTGGGACCAGTAAGTCCAGCCCACTGCCTAGCCTTATAAAGTTTTTATTGGACCACAGCTGCACCCCTTTTTAAAAATTTTTTTGAGACAAGTCTCGCTCTGCCACTTAGGCTGGAGTGCAGTGGCACAGTCACAGCCCACTGCAGCCTCGACTTCCCAGGCTCAAGCAATCTTCTCACCTCAGCCTCCAGAGTAGCTGGGACTACAGGCACACACCACCACCACGCCCAGCTATTTTTTGTATTTTTTTGTAGAGATGGGGTTTTGCCATGTTGCCCAGGCTGGTCTCAAAGTCCTGGACTCAAGGGATCCGCCCACTTCGGCCTCCCAAAGTGTTGGGATTACAAGTGTGAGCCACCACACCTGGCCATACCCTTTATTTTACGTATAATCCACAGCTGCTTTTACCTTACAAGGGTAAAAGACCTTTGTAGGGCTGTGACATAGACCTTATGACCCACAAAGCCCCAAATATTTACTATCTGGCGCTTTACTGAAAAAATTTTCTAACCCCTGCTGTAGAGTTCTCTTTACCACCTTTTCCTAATTCATACTTCTTTTTTTTGAGACGGAGTCTCGCTCTGTCATCCAGGCTGGAGTGCAATGGCACGATCATGGCTCACTGCAACCTCTGCCTCCTGGATTCAAGCCATTCTCCTGCCTCAGCCTCCCAAATAGCTGGGATTACAGGCATGTGCCACCACACCCAGCTAATTTTTGTATTTTTAGTAAAGATGGGGTTTCATCATGTTGGCCAGGCTGGTCTTGAACTCCTGACCTCAAGTGACCCACCTGCCTCGGCCTCCCAAAGTGCCAGGATTACAGGTGTGAGCCACCGTGCCTGGCCTAATTAATATTTCTTTTTACTGAAGTTCTCATCTTCAAATTATTAGTGGGTCTGTCTCCTAACTCTAATCCTGACTGTGACATATTCCTAGAGATTCTGATACTGGCTGCCCAGAGAAATGACTCCGGGAAATGCTACTGAAGGTGTTATCTGCCAGGCCTTAGCTGGCCTCCCAAATCTTGAAAGCTTCAGACCCCTTCCTTTCTTCTGCTATTCACCATCCCCATCAAAGGCCCACAGCACACCTGCTGCTTCTTGAGCAGGATGTTGACGCTGGTGAGGTCCTTGCCGTAGTCATCCGAGTGTAGCTGGGCCTGCAGGCTCTCCAGCCAGCTCTCCAGGGCACAGCAGCTCTGGGCAAACAGCTCAGCTCGGTTGGCATCAAAGAGGCTGCGGGCCTTGGCTTGGGTGGTGGTCTCCAGCTCATCCCAGCGCCTGTGCAGGTCCCCCAGCTTCTCCGACACCAGGGCTTTCAGCTCTGGCTTCTCAAGAGTCAGCTCTCGCCCTTCCTGGAAGGCAAGACAGAGAACGTCAAAGTGCCCAAATTAGCTTGAACTTTAGAGGCTGAGAGCACGGGCAGTAGAGACCTGAAGTGTGGGCAATAATTCTAAGTCCTTGTGTGTTCTCATTGACATACTCTTCGCAGAGGTTTAAGATCCCTTCTAAACCGCTGTTCCCTTACCGCTGATGAACCCCACTCCTCCTTCAAGACCCAGCTCAAAGAGCATTTCAATGAGGAAGCCCTTGCAATCTCTCTTTAGTTTGGGTTCCTTGGTGCCTGCGGTTTCTGGCACCACACTGCACATTGACTTATTTGCCATCGTTTTGTATTTCTCAACTCATTACTCTTCACTTCATTGATAGCAAGTGAGTCCCACCTGGTTTCCCCACTTCCAGCTTTTCTGCTTGAGGATTTTTGCGTCTGGGGTGGTGAGGGAAGTGTGCTCCCTTGAACTGTGTGGAAGGCAAATTGGAAGAGCCACGGAGTTAACGAGCCCAGAAGCAGCCCTCAACCAGTGAGACAGGGAGCTGATGGATAAATACGCAGCATCCAAGTGCTGTGGCTGTGCGGGTGCTGTGTTCTGTGTTTCATCTACACCCCCCCAGAGTGCCCCATGAGGGTTGGGCTCCCGCTGCCCATGGGGGTAACTGGCATGACTTCTGTCCCTTCTCATCGCTCCATTCCCCTACTGATGCTTCCCGGGGTCACCTCCCTAGAATCATTACTTCTGGGTCTGCTTCTAGGGGAACACAAACCCAGACACTGCCTTCAGGCCATTTTGCAGGTGGCTGTGGCTGTCGGGATGAAGAGCATCAAAGGCTAGCACTGCCTGGGTAGCTTCACAACCTTAAGCACAATCCACACTTGGAAGCACACGCATGTGGTGGTCAGGGTGTTCCGGGCTTCTCTCCCACCTCTTCTTCCCTGGGGCCCTGCACACATTCTGTGCTGCTGCCAGACTCGCTCACCCCCTTGCTCCCAAACAGGCACTGCCTACCACTGGTTTTCTGTTTGGTTTTCTCTACCTGGAAACATCTTTTCCTCAATATCTCCACTTGTCCAAATTCTACTCATCCGCCATGGACTGCCCTGGATGTTGCTGCTTCTAGAATTTCCATATCTCCTCTCTCCTTATTCCCCAGGCTTCAGCAGGGCCACTCTCACAGCACTCATCAGATTCTTCTCTGGATTCTATTTAGCTACCTGCATATATGCCTCATATCCTGACTACAGCGTTATTCCTTCAGGGTGGAGCCTACCAGGGGATCCCTTTCGGACCCCATGCAGTGCCTAATACAATGCTTTGGATATAGTAGTACCAAGTAAATATTTGCTGAATGAATGGAAACAATTGAAAGCACACTGGTCTCCTTTTGTCCCAACCGTCATGCCCTTGGGGGAAGGAAAGTGTCTTTTCGTAGACCTTGCAGTGCCTCACAGACTGTTGAGCGCATACCATGTTCTGTAGGGATACTTGCGGAGCAGATATAAAACTTTATATGTCCTTGGCTCTTGAGGAAGAGCTAGGTGGAAGACCAAGAACCAGGGACAGTAAGACTCGAAAATAAAGACTGGCAGACTACATACAGCCCATGAGGTAATCTGGCCCACTGCCTGTTTTTACAAATAAAGTTTTACTGGGAAACAGCCATGTTCATTCATTCACCTATTTTCTGCGGCTGCTTTTGCACTACAACGACAGAGATGAGTAGTTGTAGCAGAAACTGTTTGGACTGCAAAGCCTCAAATATTGACCATCCAGGCCAAGCCCTTTCCAGACAAGGTTTGCAGAGCCCACTGAAGAGCGCCATCCTGCTTTGAACTCAGTAACAGTTATGGTGTTAAATCCAAGCTGCAGTTTGGCTACCTACTAATTTGTACTTTATCAAGGTTCTGGACTCACTGTCCCACTCTGTCTCCAACAAAGACGTTTGTTTCCCAGGCCATAACTTTCCACCGTGGAGCTGTGGCACCAGAAGCCCCACAGTCTCTAACCATGACGAAAACCACGTCCTGGAGCCAGGCCCTCCCCTGCACGGTGGGGGACTCTGCCGAGAGGCAGCCCCCACAGCACCACTCACCTTGTCCACCTTGTCCAGCCAGTCTTTGTTGGCAGCCAGCTCGGCCATGAACGCCTGGTGCTTCTGCCACTTGGTATGCAGGTTGCGGGCCTCGTCGTAGGACACGTCCTGGGCTGTTAGCATCTTCTCATCAATCCAGAGCTTCAGCTGGACCAAACGTAAAACAGGGACAAAGGAGAGGGGGCATTTCCAAGGGAGGGGAGAGGGGGGCATAAAAGCAGGGCCACAGTGAGCCAGGAGAAGTGGGCACCTTGGGAAGAAGCATGAAGGGGCTCACAGTCTCTGGTGACCTTGTGCTGGACTTATTCTAGGCTCAAGGTGGGAAAGAGATGGCTAGGGAATATCCCGGAGCCCCAGGGAGCCTCACCTCGTGACAATCTTGCAGGAAATGCTGCTGCTCCCGGTTGTCCCGAAGACGGCCCAGAAACTGCTGTGCTGCGTCTTGATTCTTCCTGTGCCTGGAATGACACCCTCTTGTGAAACCCTGGAATTTGCTGTAAAAGGGCTGTGACCCTTTGGCTAACCTAGGGGCCTCCATTTCTTCTAGGGGAATAACGCCTTCCAGGAGCACGAGGTTACCCAGGAATCCTGACTTCCTTTTGGCCCTGGTTGGGGGTAGAACCTCCCAGCCCTCTCCAACCACTTGGTTCTTCCCCTCTACTTCTCCGTCAGCTCCTACCCCATCTGTGCGTTTCCTGTGCCACATTCATCTTTGAGGCCACCCTGTTTCCCAGATTTCCCCCAGGACCCCTAATTCATGGACCGCCTCATCAGACCTCCTCTCGATGGAGTCTGCCTTTTCCCGAATCTTGTCGGCATGGATGTTGCCTTCAGACACCAGCTGGCGCCCAGCCTCCAGGAGCCCGTGGATCCGTTCCCCATTGGCATCCATGGTGCTCATGAAGTCCTCCAATTTTTTAATGGCAGCATCAGCAGCCTGGAGTGTCCCTGGCATCTCCGTGTGAGACAGAACATATTCCTGTGTGGGAGCGGTGACATTCAGCTCATTTTCCCCAGCACAATTCACCCCCTTAGGAGGGACCCACCCAGGGGCAAATCTGAGAGGTAGGGGCCAACCCACAGACAGGGAGGGTAGCCAGGAGAACTCTGAAGACAGGGAGGCTGCCAGCCAGTGTGGGAGTCTCAGAAAGTCACAGGGAAGCTGGGTGGGAAGGACTTTCCACTCCCCAGCCCAAATCCTGTTCTATCTCACTTCTAGCTCCTGATTCCATTTCTTTAACAGTTACACGACAAACTGGGTTTTCTATTTCTTCTAAAGTCAGTTTTAGTAAATTATATTCACATTTTTTTCATTCCCATTTTTCTTTCTTTTTTCCTTTTCTTTTCTTTTGTGAGACAGGGTCTCATTCTATGGCCCAGGTTGGAGTGCAGTGGTATGATCATAGCTCACTGCAGCCTCAAACTCCTGGCTCAAGTGATCCTCCAGCCTCAGCCTCCCCAGTAGCTGGGACTACAGGCATGCATGACCATGCCCAGCTAATTTTTTTTTTCTTTTTGTAGAGATGGGGGTCTCACTATGTTGCCCAGGCTGGTCTCAAACTCCTGAGCTCAAGTTATCCTCCTGCCTCAGCCTCCCAAAGTACTGGGATTACAGGTATGAGCCATCCTGTCTGGCTCCCATTTTTCTTTATAAAAAATTCTTCTATTTTCTTTTTTTTTGTTTGTTTGTTTTTTGTTTGTTTTTGAGACGGAGTCTCGCTCTGCCGCCCAGGCTGGAGTGCAGTGGCCGGATCTCAGCTCACTGCAAGCTCCGCCTCCCGGGTTCACGCAATTCTCCTGCCTCAGCCTCCCCAGTAGCTGGGACTACAGGCGCCCGCCACCGCGCCCGGCTAGTTTTTTGTATTTTTTAGTAGAGACGGGGTTTCACCGTGTTAGCCAGGATGGTCTCGATCTCCTGACCTCGTGATCCGCCCATCTCGGCCTCCCACAGTGCTGGGATTACAGGCTTGAGCCACCGCGCCCGGCCTAATTCTTCTATTTTCTTAAATTTTTTTTTTTTTTTTGTAAAGACAAGGTCTTGCCATGTTGCCCAGGTTGGTCTGGATATTCTCAGCCTCAAGTGATCCTCCCACTTTGGCCTCCCAAAGTGCTGGGATTTCAGGCCTGAACCACTGCACGGCCCCGTTTTGCTAACATGTCCTTCCTGCCCATCCCGCTCCTTCACATTTCCCCAGGTCCCTACTTTGCTCTTCCTCCTGGTTGGGACTTTGCCTGGACTTTCACCTGGCTGCTGAGTACGCCCTCAGCCTGACGAGCATCCCGCAGGAATCCCTGGAAGCCGTGGGCCTGGGCCAGGCGACCTTGCCGGCTCTCCCACATTCGGCCCAGCTCCTCCCAGCCAGTTCCCAGGGCCTCCAGTCGCTGTCGTAGGAAGAGGCACTGGGGGTCAGCCTGGTCCCGGGTCACCTCCTCGCCCAGGGCTCGCAGCCGGCTGTACTCGCTCTGGGCCCGCTCCACCTCTCCCCGAAGGGCTGCATGTTGGGCCAGGAGGGCCTCTGCCTCAGGCAGGGTGGCTGGCCCTTCTTCAGAGGCCACAGCAGTCTGAGTACGGCCTAGCCAGGCCTGGAAGTCATCCAAGCTGCGCAGGAAGTCCTGCAGCCGCCGCGCCTCCCCCAGCGACTCTTCTCGACGCCGCATGGTGGCCCTGAGGTCCTCCCAGCCGGTCTGCACCTCTCTGAGCCGGGCGTTGATGGCCGCTGCCTGAGCGGGATGGCCGGCAGCCAGGGCATTTGCCTCTCGAGTCAGTTCACCGACCCGGGAAGCAATGGCCTCCAGGTCCCGCTCCGTGCCAGCCAGCTTGCGCTGCAGGGCCAGCACCCCAGCCAGATCGTTGCCTAGGCCCTGGGTGGACTCGATGACCTTGGTCTTCTCTCTCATCCAGGCCTGGGTCTCCGTACACTCTAAGTGGTAGTTCTGGATGCTCAGGGCTGAGGTCAGAGCTGCCTTCTTACCGTCTGCCAGGGACCGAAACTGCTGCCACCTGAGAGCAGGGGGAGGGTTCAGCTTCCTGCCCTGGCCAGGCCTATTTGGAAGCTTCTTCCCTGCTTCTCTCTCCCTTGGTATCTCCCCTTGACTCCTCCCTTTCTGGCCAGCAGCTGCTTCAGACTACCTTGACTCCCTCCCTCGTCTCTTTGATCCTTTTTCCTTTCCCAACGTATTCCAGACTGGTTTGCTTCCTCCTTGGTAGCCACTCTGCCAAGCTCTACAAAACCTGCCTCCCACTGCCATCCCCACTGCTTCATTTCTCTGTCAGTTTCCCAGTCCTGCCCTTCCAAGCCCACCTGTGGTTGAGCTGCTCCTGGGTGTTGACAATGCGGTCCTTGCCTGGGGGGCTGGCCTTCAGTAACTGCTCGGCAACGTCATTCACCGCGGTGATTTGTGCTGCAAGGGTGTTCATTTCAGGCTCCAGGGTCTCAAACCTGAGAGGGTGGAAGAGTCAGGCATGAACTGTGGGAGGCAGCACTGTGCCCAGTCTACCTAAGTCCACCTCTCTTAGACACCCAGGAGGGTGTCTCCTTCACCAGGAGGCTTATCTGCAGGAGTCTCTGTGCCTCTCAGCCTATGAGGTTCATAGTATCTGTGGGTCAAGGGAGGAACCCCCAACTCCCCCAAAACAAGCAGAATAACTATTATCGCTAGAACTGCTCAAAAGATGGTGAAAGGTAAAGGTCAGGAACATACACACAAGTCAAACTAGACCCTGGCATGGGGCCAACCCTTTTTCGGATCCTCTGAGCCTCCTGGGACTTCCCGCTTAGCTGCCTATCTGGGTCTCATCCCACTAATATGTGTTAGAAAATGAAGTAATAACCAAAAATATTGGTCTGGGTGATGAAAATGTGAAGGATAACTTCTTCCAGGGACATTTTATGTTTTGTTTTTGTTTTTGAGACGGAGTCCCGCTCTGTCACCCAGGCTGGAGTGTAGTGGCGTGATCTTGGCTCACTGCAACCTCTGCCTCCTGGGTTCAAGCAATTCTCTGCCTCAGCCTCCTGAGTAGCTGGGATTATAGGTGCCCGCCACCATGCCCAGCTAATTTTTGTATTTTTAGTAGAGATGGGGGTTTCACTATCTTGGCCAGGCTGGTCTTGAACTCCTGACCTCATGATCCACCCTCCTCAGCCTCCCAAAGTGCTGGGATTACAAGTGTGAGCCACCTCGCCTGGCCGGCATTTTATGTTCTAATAGGGCAGGGTTTGCAAATGTTTTCTGTAAAGGGCTCAACAGTAAATATTATAGGCGTCATGAGCCATGCAGCTGCTGCAGCAACTATTCAGCCCTGCTGCTGTAGCCTGAAAGTAGCCACGGGCGATATGCAAAAAGAGTGTAGCTCTCTTCCAATAAAGCAGAAACAGGCAGCAGGCTGGATTTGGCCCAAGGGTTGTAGTTTGTTAACCTCTACATTAGGATACCTTGAAAACTAAAAAAAAAAAATAATTACATTTTTATTTTTATTTATTTATTTATTTTGAAACAGGGTCTTACTCTGTCACCCAGGTTGGAGTGCAGTGGCATGATCTCAGCTCACTGCAGCCTCGACCTCTGGGCTCAAGCAATCCTCCTGCCTCAGCGTTCCCAGTAGCTAGGACTACAGGTGCCCACCACCATGCCTGGCTAATTTTAAAAAAAAAAATGTGTAGAGGTGGAGTCTATGTTGCCCAGGTTGGTTATGAACTCCTGGACTCAAGTGATCCTCCTGCCTTGGCCTCCGAAAGTGCTGGGATTACACGTGTGAGCCACCAGGCCCAACCTAATTACATTTTTTTAAACACCAGGAAATTTGATTATACATTGATCATAGATCAAGAAATTCCTAATTTTGGCTGGGCACGGTGGCTCAAGCCTGTAATCCCAGCACTTTGGGAGGCCGAGACGGGCGGATCGCAAGGTCAGGAGATCGAGACCATCCTGGCTAACATGGTGAAACCCCGTCTCTATTAAAAAATACAAAAAAATAGCCGGGCGAGGTGGCGGGCGCCTGTAGTCCCAGCTACTCGGGAGGCTGAGGCAGGAGAATGGCGTAAACCCGGGAGGTGGAGCTTGCAGTGAGCTGAGATCCGGCCACTGCACTCCAGCCTGGGTGACAGAGCGAGACTCCGTCTCAAAAAAAAAAAAAAAAAAAAAAAAGAAATTCCTAATTTTGTTCTATGTGATAATGGTTCTATAAATTTTTTTTAAGATTTATTATTGAATAAATGATTTGAAGATTTATTCTGTAAATAAAGCTATTTTAGTGTCTCTGTCTAAAAGGCTTATAACTTCAAAGCCTCAGCTATTTTAAGTCCACACAGACAGCCGGGCGCGGTGGCTCAAGCCTGTAATCCCAGCACTTTGGGAGGCCGAGGCGGGCGGATCACGAGGTCAGGAGATCGAGACCATCCTGGCTGACACGGTGAAACCCCGTCTCTACTAAAAAATACAAAAAACTAGCCGGGCGAGGTGGCGGGCGCCTGTAGTCCCAGCTACTGGGGAGGCTGAGGCAGGAGAATGGCGTGAACCCGGGAGGCGGAGCTTGCAGTGAGCCGAGATCCGGCCACTGCACTCCAGCCTGGGCGACAGAGCGAGACTCCGTCTCAAAAAAAAAAAAAACAACAAAAAAAAAGTCCACACAGACAATTTCAAAATAATATATCGTAGGTACGAATGCTTCCTTGTATTTCTTAAAGGGTACACCCTGAAGAATGTAGGAGGGACATGCTAATATTGGGGATTTGATTTTTAAAAGGGCAGAGAATCAAATAAAGCAAGATATTGGCAATGATTGAATCTGGGTGATGGGTATAGAGAGGTTTGCGGTGAAATGTCTCTACTTGTGAGTATGGTTAACATCTTTTGTTAAAACTAGAAACGGACAACCATTAAGACTCAAAGGGGTGAGGCAGGCAGTTTATGGAGGGACTCACCACCCACATCCTGGCCCCCACCCTGCCTCCCAAGGCCAGTCCCACTGGGAGCCTGAGGGGCCTACCTCTGCTGCACCACCTCCAGGTCCTCCAGGCGCTCAGGCAGGGCCAGCCCGTTGAGCCACTGCTCCTTCTCCTCCACCCAAAGCCCGCAGGCCCCGGCCTCGCTGAGCATGGTATAGAGCGCTAGGGCTGCCTCCAGGGCCCGAGCTCGCTTGCCTGCCCGGGCCTGCAGCTCCTCGTAGTGCCGCTCCAGGGTGGGCACCCGACCCTGCACCTCGGGCGTGCGGCTCAGTGCGGGAGGCAGGGCTGCTGCCTGTTCCCTCAAGGCGTCCAGGGTTGGCCGGTGGCTTCGGATCTCCTCCTCCAGGGCCCGATGCTGCCTGGCTAGAGCCTGCGTGGAGAACTCGTCGTGACCTAGCTCGGGGCTGGACACCAGGCGCAGTGCGTCTACCAACCAGGCCTCCATGTCGTTTGCATCAGCCTGGAACTGGTAGAGGCTGGCAGCTTGGGCCAGCCGCTGGGCACGCTCCTCGGCCAGGGCCTCTAGCCGCTCCCACTGGGCTTGGAGCTCAGCTGCACGGGCAGAGGCCTGGCTTGCCCCAGGGTGACCCTCGGCCACCAACTGCTGGCCCTGCTCCAGGGTGAGCTTCAGGGGCCCCAGCCGGCCGCTCATCTCACCCCGCAGGGCTGTGTGCTTGTTGAGCAGGCGGAGGACACCGGTCAGGTCCCGGCCCGTGTCGGCTGAGGCCAGGAGGTGCTGCTGCTCCCGCACCCAGGCCTCAGCTTCGCCCACCTCCCAGAGGAAACGCCAGAGCCGCCGTGACTCCTCCAGCCGGGCCCGCCGCGCCGCTGCCAACTCGCACAGTGCCTCATAGCTCTGCTCTAGCTTGGCTACCCGCTCTGACACCAGCTGCGGGTCGCAAGGTCTATACTCTGAGAAAGTCACAGGAGAGGGTCAGAGCTGCAATCCAGCCCTCCGGCTGCTCCCTGCCACCACACTCTCTTGGGCTTCCCACCTTGGCTCTAGCTCAGTCACCATCGTTTGGTCACCATCTTTCCTGTCCCCAGGTTTCCCAACCCTTCTACCTTGGCTCTTGATGTGCTCCTTCCCAGCCCCTCCCTCTCCAGTGCCTTCCCCGACTTTTCACCTTTCCCTGGGTTGCAGAAGCGCAGGGCAGAGGCGCTGACGGCCCGCACCCTCTCGGCCTGCACGGCGATGTCTGCCTCCACCAGCTCGTGCAGCTGCAGCAGGTCCTCCACTCCTGTCAGGTGCTTGCCCAGGTCCTGAGACTGCAGCCGGCCCTGCCAGGCACACATGGAGTTCAGATGCCCGCCTGAGCACGCACATGCTAACCTGCCGTGTTTTCCTTCCAACCTCTCTGTGGCTCCAGGTGTTGCACCCAGGTGAGAAACCTGCTTACTCACACACACTGAGATACCCCAGTTCTGCTCTGGCACCCCGACCTCCTTATCCTTATCCTTAACTCCCCTGCTGTGGAACAATGTTCTAACTAACTCCTGCTCTTGGAAGCTTTGCTGTGACTAACCTTCTTAGCCTCAGAATCACTGACACCCTCCTGTCACCACTGCTCTGCCCCTGCACCCAGCAGCCTTCCTTCCACATCTTTCCCCAATCCACCCTCCTGGCCGCTGCCTGCCTGGGAGATGGCAGCAACCCTAACAGGTCTTGCTCTCATGCTGCCTGCCCACAGGCCTTCTTCAGAGTAGCCAAAGTGACCTTTTTACAAACGTAAGGTACAATGAAGTCTCTATGCCTCTCAAAACCTTTTAATCACTTTCTTTATTTTATTTTTTATTTATTTTTTTTTTTGAGACGGAGTCTGGCTCTGTTGCCCAGGCTGGAGTGCAGTGGCCGGATCTCAGTTCACTGCAAGCTCCGCCTCCCAGGTTCACGCCATTCTCCTGCCTCAGCCTCCCGAGTAGCTGGGACTATAGGCGCCCTCCACCTCGCCCGGCTAGTTTTTTGTATTTTTTTAGTAGAGATGGGGTTTCACCGTGTTAGCCAGGATGGTCTCGATCTCCTGACCTCGTGATACACCCGTCTCAGCCTCCCAAAGTGCTGGGATTACAGGCTTGAGCCACCGTGCCCGGCCTCTTTCTTTATTTTTTGAGATGCAGTCTTGCTCCCGTCATGCAGGCTGGAGTGCAGTGGCGCAATCTTGGCTCACTGCAACCTCCACCTCCCGGCTTTAAGCAATTCTCCTTCCTCAGCCTCCTGAGTAGCTGGGATTACAGGCGTGTGCCACCACGTGTGGCTAATTTTTATATTTTTACTAGAGACGGGGTTTTGCCATGTTGGCCAGGCTGGTCTCGAACTCCTGACTTCAGGTGATCCACCCACCCTGGCCTCCCAAAGTCCTAGGATTACAGGTGTGAGCCACCTTGCCTAGCTGTGGTGTTTTTTTGTTTTTTTTTTTTTTGAGACTGAGTCTTGCCCTATCACCTAGGCTGGAGTGCAGTGGTGCAATCTCAGCTCACTGCATCCTCCGCCTCCTGGGTTCAAGCGATTCTCCTGTCTCAGCTTCCTGAGTAGCTGGGACTACAGGCGCCCACCACTGCACCCGGCTAATTTCTGTATTTTTATAGAGATGGGGTTTCACCATGTTGGCCAGGCTGGTCTTGAACTCCTGACCTCAAGTGATCGCCCACCTTGGCCTCCCAAAGAGCTGGGATTGCAGGCGTGAGCACCGTGCCCGGCCCCTTCAAATCACTTTAAAGGATCCGTGTTACTTTGAATAAAATCCAAACTCCCTGACCAGGCCTGTAAGACCCTAATGGGCTGGCTGCGCCCTCCCAAATCTCAGTCCACGGCCCCCACTCCTCATGCTCACAGCCCACCGGCTTTCCTTCTGATCCTGAACACACCATGCTGGTCCGGGCCGAGGGCCTGCGCCGGCTCTTCCTTCTACCTGGAACGTTCTCTCCTGAGAGCTCTCTGTGCTGTTCTTGGCAATATTCTGGTCTCGGCTTAAATGGCATTTTCTCAGAGGCCTTATCTGACCAGCCCCTCACGCCGCCCTGTTCCAGATTCATCAATGGTTTTATGGCCCCTGCTCTTTTGTTTATGGAAAGGTCCGTGGGTTTTGTCATCAGCCTCCTCCATCTAGAACATGAACCCCCTGTGGACAAGGCCCTGTTTCCTTTGTTCACTGCTATTGGGGACAGGGCCCTGTGCTGGTTCACACTCCACAGAGACTGGCCGAGCAGACAGGCAAACGCACCCACTGTGGGGCCCCCTCAACTCTTGATCACCTGTATCCCACCCAGCACGCCTCACTGATACCTTCATCTCTTCCATCCAGTCCATGAGGTAGAGCAGGTCCTGGAACACCTTCTGCAGCTCCAGGTTGAGGAGGAGCCGCTCCCGCCGGGCGGCCACCATCTGCCGCAAGAAGTCCCAGAGCCGTGCCACGTTGTGCTGCCGAGCGGCGATGCGCTTGATGTCGTGGTAGCGCTCGGCGGCCAGCTCTGCAGCCACGGCGTCCACCGCCTGCACCCGGCCGCTGTAGGCCACGATGTCCGTCTCAATGGCTTCGTGCTTCCGTACTGCTGCCTCGACAGCTGCCAGCTCCAGCCCAAAGTTGTCCTGTGTCGGGGACAGGGAGAGGAGGTGTGGGGACCAAGGGACAGTGCCTCTGCCGGCTCCTCTGTCCTGCAGAGCACTTGGGCTGCAAGATCCCAGCTCCATGTGGTGGCTCTAAGTTCCCTCTCTACCCCATCCCCATCCTCTTTCACCAACACTCTCTTCTGTCCCAGCCTCTGGCCCCTTGCTCCCGGACCTCTAGGCCTTTTTACCCAGGTGGCGGATTTCGTGTTTCATGGTCTCTCCAACCCGCGGGGCTTCTTATCCACCACTGTCTCTCTCCCAGTTCTGACCAGCCTAAGCATCCTAGGAGCCTCCAGTCCTACCTGGGACACGAGGCGCTGGTTCTCGCTGAGCCAGGTCTCCCGCATAGCAGCCTTGCGGTCGAAGCGGGCGGCCAGCTGCTCCAGCTTCTCCTGGCGGATGAGCTCGGTGCGCAGGGCCAGCTCACGCTCGTGCTCCGCCTTCTCCAGCCGCTCCCAAGCCTGTGGGGTGGGGACAGAGTCAGTGGAAGGGACAGGGCAGGGAGGGCTCAGTAGGGCTGGAGGCACATGGTAAGTCCCATGGAAGCTCGGTCTAGTGGATCCGTGGAATGCAGTGGGTGAGACGCCTGGGCGTGGAAACAGGAAAGAGGGCAGCGCTGGGAGTCTGTGAAGCTATGTAGAAGCTTCTGGAAAAGGACTGAAGGGAGCGGGAACAGTGGAAACCATCTGATTCCTTTGTGTTGGCAGGACTGTGTGCGAACCTTATTTTTACTTTTAGTCATCTTACAACATCGTGAAAAAAATAAAGGAAGGGATAGTGAGTTGGGGACAGGTGGAATAAGCTGAGGGACTTGGGGCATAATTTCCTTACGTGACCTCGTATGGAGAGTCAGACAAAGGAGCAGGGAGCCATGTGCCTGAGAGGGCGGGAGAATCACATCTGGCACAGTGTGGGCAGCTGGGCGGAGTGCTCGAGTTTCAAGTTGGGGCAGCAGATAGTGGAGTTTGCTGAAGGTCGAGATGGCCCCGGGTTTGGGGATGTGTGCAAGGCGTCTGGGCCAGGGGCTACCCTGAGGGTGGGTGGCCTGTGGGCAGCCACGGACCTTGTTGATGTCCGAGATGAGCCGGCCCTCGCGGGGCGTGTAGACCTTCTGGTTGTTGGCCCGAAGTTTGCTCTGGATGGTGAAGAGCAGCACTTCCAAGTTGCCTTTCTCGGTAAACCTGAGGCAGGAGGCCGGGTTGGGGTCAGAATTAAAGCCCATGAGGGTCACAAGGACTCTTTCCTCTTCAAAATGGCTGTCCTGTGGTGCTTTTCTTCTTACAAAAGTAATACAAGCTCTTTACGTGGAAACCAGAAAATACTGGCGAACCAAAAGAACATAGTTTTATTTTATTTTGAGACAGAGTCTTGCTTTGTCACTCAGGCTGGAGTACAGTGGCACAATCTGGGCTCACTGCAACCTCCGCCTCCTGGGTTCAAGCCATTCTCTTGCCTCAGCCTCCTGAGTAGCTGGGATTACAGGAGCGTGCACTACCACACCTGGCTAATTTATGTATTTTTAGTAGAGTCGGGGTTTCAAATTCCTGACCTCAAGTGATCCACCCACGTCAGCCTCCCAAAGTGCTGGGATTACAGGCGTGAGCCACTGTCACCGGCCGAAATAATTCTTTTTTTTTTTTTTTTTTTTTTGAGACAGAGTCTCGCTCTGTCGCCCAGGCTAGAGCGTGGTGGCGCGATCTCGGCTCACTGCAAGCTCCGCCTCCTGGGTTCACACCATTCTCCTGCCTCAGCCTCCTGAGTAGCTGGGAGTACAGGCGCCTGCCACCACGCCCGGCTAATTTTTTGTATTTTTAGTAGACACGGGGTTTCACTGTGGTCTCCATCTCCTGACCTTGTGATCCGCCCGCCTTGGCCTCCCAAAGTGCTGGGATTACAGGCATGAGCCACCGTGCCCGGTCCGAAATAATTCTTTTATAACCTATTTCCTTGCTTATTTTTCATGAACATTTTTCCATGTCAATAAATGCATTTATTTAATGTCATTTTCAGTGGCTGACCCGTGACTTATTTTTCTTTTATAGTGGTTGTGTTGATGAACATCCTTGAAGCTACATCTTTGTTTAATGCCCAGAAGACGACTTCCTAGGTTAAAGGGTACACCTTAAATCATTCCCTGGAATGTATAGAAACAGTTGTTTTCTGGACTAATATTAGTTTCAGAGCTGATATATATTAATTCCAAAAGAACTCCATGACAGCATAAACACAGACATTTTGGCAGGTACTGAACAGAATTGCCTAAGAGCAATCACATATTTGGAACAGTTAATTGCTAAAATATTGAAATGATAAGAACCTCTGCAATTCTCACGTTACCAGCCACACCCACGTTGCCGGTTATGACCTGCCTGTCAGGTCCAGTCCCCTCTATCCTATGCTGGGATTGGGTTGCCATGACACCCTGATCAGTAATCTTATCTGATGAATTGCACTGACTCAACACACCATAGCAATCATTTCCACAGCATGTTTTTTTGTTTATTTATTTTTTGAGATGGATCTTGCTCTGTCACCCAGCCTGGAGTGCAGCAGCATGATCTCAGCTCACTGCAACCTTTGCCTCCCAGGTTCAGGTGGTTCTCCTGCCTCAGCCTCCCGAGTAGCTGGGACTACAGGCATGTGCCACCATCCCCAGCTAATTTTTTTGTATCTTTAGTAGAGACAGGGTTTCACCATGTTGGCCATGCTGGTCTCAAACTCCCGACCTCAGTAGAGATGGGGTTTCACCATGTTGGCCAGACTGGTCTCGGTGATCCATCCGCCTTGGCCTCCCAAAGTGCTGGGATTACAGGCATGAGCCACCATGCCCTGCCCACAGCATGATTTTTAAAAATGGCTAATCATTAAAAAAAATTTATTTTGTATCAACTACGTTGTTTGGATGCTTCTGGCATGGGAAATCTCTACTGCACTTATGTACTGCCAAATTTCCCTCCCTGAAAGTTGTGCTAATTTAGGCTTCCTCTCGTGGGAGCACAGCTCAGGGCAGGGTGGGGCCCCAGGGACACCTACTTGGGCGGCTTCTCCACGGTGCGGTAGGAGTTGAAGGACTGCAACTGGTTCTGGACCCCACTCAGGGAGTTGGCCAGCTGCCGGTCATTGAGGGTCACAATCGTTTGCTCGATCCACTGCAGCAGCTCTGAGGCCAGGGACTCATACTTCTCCACCAGGCGCTCTGCCTCCATGGCATGGTCCAGCACCTGGGAGGCAGAAGACATGGACATGACAGTCCCAGCCACAGGGTCCCTGGCCCAGTCCTGCAGCTCCACCCTGCCCTTGCACTGAGGAAGTAAGACCCCTCAGCCGGGCCTCCTCTGGCCTTTATACCTATTGCCCATGGACAGTACCTTGCCAATTCTCTTGCCTTCCACTGCCAGGGCCTTCATCTTGGAGAAGTAATGGTAGTAAGTAGCCACATAGGTAATGATCGACTTCTCATCTGGCTGGTCCACATTCACATCTGCAAGAGCGGACCATTTGGGTCAGGCCTCCCAGAAGTACATCCACAACTTGCATCAGCTACCCCAAACCCTGGGCCTGCCCAGTCCTCCAAGGCTGACATCTCTCCATCCCCTTTTAGAGCAAAATGACAACTTGGCCATTCAAATGAAAGGGGCACCAAAAGCTCACCTTTTTTCCCTTCTTCTGGAAACAAGAAGGGCCCTCCAAGCAGAGCACAAACCCCAGAAGGAGGCTTTTACTCAGAGTTCCCCATGGAGACCAAAATTAGTTGTTTGGGGAAGAAAAGCAAGAAAAGAGACAGCATTGCTACGTGGGGATGGATCACGGACTTTTAGGCTGGAACAATGTTTAAGAAATCAATGGAGGCTGGGCGCGGTGGCTCACGCCTATAATCCCAGCACTTTGGGAGGCCGAGGTGGGCGGATCACGAGGTCAGAAGATTGAGACCATCCTGGCTAACACGGTGAAACCCCATCTCTACTAAAAATACAAAAAAATTAGCTGGGCGTGGTGGCAGGCGCCTGTAATCCCAGCTACTCGGGAGGCTGAGGCAGGAGAACGGTGTGAACCCAGGAGGCGGAGCTTGCAGTGAGCTGAGATCGTGCCACTACACTCCAGCCTGGGGGACAGAGCGAGACTCTGTCTCAAAAAAAAAAAAAAAAAAAAAAAAAAAGTCAATGGATTGAGGGGCAGCAGGACAGAAGGTATGAACTAAGCCTCCTGAACCTAAGATGCACAGAGCAATGGGCCCTGTGATCCCCGCAGCTCAGTGGGGACAGAGGCCAGCTCTCAGCACCATCTCCAGGTGTGATCACGCTGTTTCTAACCTCAATCCCAAACCTCAGCTGTGGGCCCAAGGAGGGGAGTGTCTTTCAAACCGAACTGGCTTCCACCACACAACCGAGGCTGACCGTAACTTGAAATCTATGGGTTCTTTTAAATAGGCCAGATTTTATCCTAAAGGTAAGACTATGAGACTGGAAGCCTCTTGCCCATTTCTGGAAACACGCAGGCAGGCAGGAGCCACTGAAGTCATCTCGGAAAGTTACAGAATGCTTAGCTTTATTTCCAGGTTCTGAATTACAGCCATGCTGCCCAGAGGCTCTCTAAGGAGCACTGCATGAAGCCTATGTCTGTTGCTAGCTCGCTGACACTTGTCATTCTGGAGTAAAAGGGTCCAGGTGATAGGGCTACAGGTAGAATGGAAAACAGGGAGAAAATGGCCAAGACCAGTGAACATCCACCCAGTGAACTTCAGGAGCACCTCCAGCAGGGGAGTCACTGGGCCCTTCTCTCCTCCCTGTTCTGGCTGCACCAAGATTGGTCTCCACTCTACCAGAAGCAGCAGAAGAAACAGGCTCTGGAGCCAGGCTGCCTGAACGCCAATCTCAGCTCCATCTGCCGGAGGACTTGGGCAAGTTGCTCACCCATTATAGGCCCCCATCGTCTCTTCCATAAACTGAGGATAACAGTACTGATTTCAAAGGGGTATTGTGAAGATTAAAGCATGTCAAGTGCAGAACCAGGTACCAAAATAAGAGAAAAATCGCAGTCGGGTACAGGGGCTCACACCTGTTATCCCAGTGCATTGGGAGGCCGAGGTGGGCGGATCACAAGGTCAGGAGTTAGAGACCAGCCTGACCAACATGGCGAAACCCCGTCTCTACTAAAAATACAAAAACTAGCCGGCCTGGTGGCATACGCCTGTAATCCCAGCTACTCGGGAGGCTGAGGAAGGATAATTGCTCGAACCCAGGAGGCGGAGGTTGCAGTGAGCTGAGATCGCGCCATTGCACTCCAGTCTGGGCAACAGAGCGAGACTCCGTCTCAAAAATAAAAAAAGAGCCCAATCGCTGTTACTGATCTCATCTATCTTGTCAGCATTATGACCAGAACCACAGGAACCAATCAGCAAGGTCAGCTGACCACAGGCCAGGTCTGGGTAAGAGTGGAAGGTCATGCAGCTTAATTTTTTTTCTTTTTTTTTTGAGACGGAGTATTGCTCTGTCGCCCAGGCTGGAGTGCAGTGGCCGGATCTCAGCTCACTGCAAGCTCCGCCTCCCGGGTCCACGCCATTCTCCTGCCTCAGCCTCCCGAGTAGCTGGGACTACAGGCGCCCGCCACCTCGCCCGGCTAGTTTTTTGTATTTTTTAGTAGAGACGGGGTTTCGCCATGTTAGCCAAGATGGTCTCGATCTCCTGACCTCGTGATCCGCCCGTCTTGGCCTCCCAAAGTGCTGGGATTACAGGCTTGAGCCACCGCACCCAGCCGCTTAATTTTTTTTCTTAAAAATTTGTTTTAAAAAAATAAAGACAGGTCTCGCTGTTGCCCAGGCTGGAGTACAGTGACTATTGACAGGTGTGATCCCACTACTGATCAGTGTGGGAGTTTTGACCTGCTCCATTCTGACTTGGGCTGGTTCAGTCCTCCATAGGTAACCTGGTGGTCCCCTGATCCCAGGAGAACACCAATGCTGAACTTAGTGTGGATACCCAATCAGCATAGCCCACTGCAGCCTAGAACTCTTGAGCTCAAGTGATCCTCTCACCTCAGCCTCCCTAGCAGCTAGCACTACAGGCAGGTACCACCGTGGCCAGCAACATGTAGCTGAATTTAGAATCCTAGAATTTTCGAAGAACCCTTACAGACCAATTCTGTCTTTTAAGACATGAGGAAACTGAGCCACAGAGGCCAGCCACTGGCTGTATGTCACAGAGCTCCTGTGTGCTCTGCCCGGGACACAACTCACAGCCCAGTGCTCTTTCTGTCACTGGGCTGCCCTTCTTCTGACCTACAGTCTTTTGTTAGAAAAAACTGAGAAATGATTTTCATACCACAAAATTCACCCTTTTAATGTATATAATTCAGTGGTTTTCAGTGTAAAGATGTATTTTTTAGGGGGAGGGGTAGTCATGGGGTCTCAGTATGTTGCCCAGGCTGGTATCAAACTCCTGGGCTCAAGCGATCCTCCTGCCTTGGCCTCCCAAAGTGCTGGGTGTGAGCTACCCCATGGTTTTCAGCATATTTACAAGGTTGTGTAAATATCACCACTTTCTAATTCCAGAACATTCTCTTCCCCCACCAAAGAAGCCCCTGTATCGGTTGGTGGTTACTCCATGTCTTCCCCCTCTGCGGCCCCTGGCAACCACTGGTCCACCTCCTGTCTCTACCCTACCACCTCTTTTTCACATAGCTCTGGCCCCACCTTCAGGATCCAGCAGCTTGGTAAGTCCCAGTTCCTTTTCAGCCAGATTGAATGCATTCTGCAGATTATAGTGCGCATTACACTTCTTCAGAGACTCAAAATCCAGCAGGTCTGGCCTGGGTGGGGAGGAAAGACAGAAGGGATCAGAAACATGTGAGATCTTAAAGAGGAAGAGGAAACCCACACCAATCTTTATCCCTAAGTCACCGACCCAATTTTGTCCAGAAGTAGGCATCCCAAACCCACACTGCTGCTCACAGCCCCTCCCCATACCGCCTCCCCTGCTTCCCATCACAAGCGCTCTGTGCAGTCCTGCACCCCCACGTTCTGGTTCTGCTCCGAGTGCTATCCCTTCCTTCTGACTGCTGTGCAGCTCGTCTCATCTCTGTCTCCACACGTGCAGCCGAGGTCACTAGCCGACCCCATCTTCTCACCGGTGTTTATGCACGATGGCGTTGAAGGCTAGCCCATCTCTCCAGCTGGTGGTGAAGTTGTGTACATTGACGTTGGGATAACTATAAACAGAGATTCGGAAAATGGTGAGTAGGGCTGAGCCCTGGTCTGTGATTCCAGGGCAGTCACCAGCTCATGGTTCCTGGAGCCCAGCACAGCCTGGGGGTCACTGACCCTCCAGTGCCACATGCCCAGGGCATCCTCACCCTGCAGTCTTCATCTGGCACCACAGAAGCAGGGCATCCTTGGCTGACTTCTTCTCCTTGTTGTCTTCTGTCTCCACACTGATGTCTTGGATCTAGGAAGGAAGCAAGCAGGGCCCTCACTCCCTGGACAGGAACTCCTGGTGTTATCAGAGATGCTCAGCTAAATGGCAGGAAACCACTCTTTAGACGGTGGTAATGGGGTGGACAGGCATAGCCTGAGGTCCTTTCAACCTAGGCCAGGGACCACAGAACACTGGGTGGAAGGGGTTTGAGGCAGCAGATTAGGGTAGGATGCTGAAGAATGGATGTGTCCCTGAGTGGAGGTGCTGGTCCCTCCAGGTGGGGAACTGCAGGCAGAAGAGTGAATCTTTTCTGAGAACTGGCTCTCCAAGGTGTCTGAAAGCTGGCTTTCCAAGGTGAAGCCGACAGAACCCGGGAAGGAAGGGGGTGATCAGGAAAGCTGTGATGACATGAGGACACTGGGGCATGGGAAGGAGGAGGGTGACTGTTCCACTGGGGGAGGCCAGCAGAGTTTATGGCAGGGGATTGGGGCCAGTGACCAGACCCTCTGGAAGTTCCCAAACCCCTTGTGGTGAAGGACCAGTTTGTAAAACTTCTAGTCCCTTGTGGACCAATACACAGAGCAGTGCACAGGGAACCTGCCACAGGGGTTTGCCATTCACCCACGCTGGTTTCTACCCTGTTGAAGGAGGGGAGTCCACTGATCTGGTGCTTGGATAGCACCGCAATAGCAACTGCTACATAAGGTTCTAGATCCTCCGTCTTTGTGTTTGTTGTGTCACGGGCCAGCAGGAACGGTCTGTGGTGCAGAATCAGGGCAGGAACCACACCCTGTGTGACAGTGTGCTGGGGTACCTGGAATCGAAGGATGATGGTCCAGACCAGCCCAAGGGTCAGTCGGTGGTTTCCGTCCACAATGTCATGGGAGCCCATGTTTTCCAAGTGCACTTTCTGCTCCTTGAGGAACTGCAGTGCCTTGTCCACGTTCTCCAGGCAGTGGATCCGCATGCGGCCCTTTGTGGGCTTTGGCTGTGGAGGGACGGGGGCAAAATGGCACGGGACTGTGGGCTTCCACCTTCTTCCCCAGCCTTCCCAGGGCCCGGCTTTGCACACCTTCCTCATGACCTACCTCAGGAACACAGGCACAGCCCCAGGGCTGGAGCCAAAGCTGAGGTTACAGATGAGGCTTGGGCAGATTAAGATTCCCAAGGGAATTAATTGCACCCAGAGTAGGTGGAAAAAGAAATGTTTTCAATGGGGCCACTGTTCCTGTCTCCACGAAGCAGTGCTCCTATGTAATCCAAGTGGCAAAGGCGCTCGAAATGAACCCATCCTCTGAGCAGGGGGAGCCACTGCTTCCCGCCCTGTGCCGTCACTCTCTCTGAGGGCTGTTCCTCCAGCTGGTCCCCTTGGACACTTTTCTGAGGCCCCCTCTTCCCTTCATGACCACAGCTCACCAGTGTCTCTCCCGAGAGCACCTCGAGGAGCCTCAGCAGGTTGCGTCCATCCCGGAGGTCGCTGTACAGGTCCCCCACCCGGCACGTGACCCGGGCCAGGTGCGAGTTTACCCACTTGGTGAAGGTTTTCTTCTGCACGGCTTCTCGTTCATCTGCAGTGGCAACATGGGGTTATTTCTGTCCTTCGAGTTCAGCATGCCTGCTTCTAAACACCAGTTGGCAGGGGTGGGGGATGGAGGAGCCTGAGAGATTTCGGGAAGCGGGGTCCTCCAAGGAGGAGGAAGGGAAGGAAGATGACCAGGAGGAAAGCCCGTAACTTGGAATGAGCTCATAAGCAAGGTAAAGAAGAAAGATGAAAGACAGAAAACAGGCTTTGAGAAGAAAGGATGAAGACCTTGGAAACCGTGGGACATGCAGGGAGGGGCTGGAGTGGGGCAGTCGTGTAAGTGGTGGAACACTGGTCAAGTGACTTCATCCATCAGAGCCCCAATGTCCTCATCTGTAAAATGGGAACATCACTTTCTACTTCAACAGGTCATTGTGTTGATTAAATGAGATAAGGTATATAAAATATCTAGTTGGTGCCCGGCACAAAATGGCTCCTTGGTGAGCTGCTGTTATAAAGTGGTGTGATCTGACCTGCAGGAGAGCAAGAGCTGCCCAGGCCGGTGGGAGGTATGGCTGTTTTCTTTTGGTTGTGGACAAAGGAGAGGGTGTGGACTAAAATCATAGCAGCGGCTCTTCCAAGCGGTCATTAGGACTTGATGGTATAGAGGCTGCAGGCCTCCTGAGTCAGCTTACTGTTCCTTGGATAACTTAAAAGAAAAGGCAGGCTCCTCTGTTTTGGGGGTTGGGGACGGTACGTTCAACAGGCTGCAAGGGGATCCAGTTCCAGGACATAAACACCCCATTGCCCAGAAGAACAAGATGTTGAGAGTTGGCAACTGGGAAAACAGTGAGGCCAGGAACCATGAGGGAAAAAAGCCAGGCAGAGTTAGGCACCAATCTCAAAAAAAAGTTAGGCAATGCCCTGCTGCCCAGCCCACAGAGGAGGGGAGCTACTGAAGAGGGGAAATAAGTACTACGTTTCATAGGAAAATAAAAATTAAGAACGTTCTAAGTGACAAAGTGAAAGCATCAGAAGCTGCTCTGGTGATGAGGATTTCTGCCACTTCCCCACAGAGAGCCCTGTGCAAGGACCCAACCCAAGTGGCTGGGGTCTGAAGAGTCACTTTTGCTTCCGTCTCAGCACCAGCATCTCAGACACCAGAAAGACTCATCCCTTAATCTCACATTCCTAAGCACCTCACCCATAAGACACAGCAACACACCCATGTCGCTCCCTGTCTCTTACTTTCAGCCACTATACCGGCACAAAACCTGGGGTCCTAATAACAACGTGGGATGGCCCCATGCTCTCCAGCACCCGTGAAACCAAGGGTGCGTTGGGGCCTCCCGGCAGGTCTACAGGTCCCATCTGAGCCAGGAGGAGCCTGGGTCACAGGCCAACGCTGGATCCAGGGGGACTGCCCTGCTGCTGGGCACCCTGGGGTGAGACCATTTTGGCACACAGGCAGAAGACACAGAAGTAGTGTCAGCTAGGAGGAAAATGGGCAAAGTCAAGCACAAGAAACCAAGTGTTATGTCACAAGACGCCCACAGCATCCCAAGATCCTTACACACACACACCAGTGATTCCCAGAAACACACCCAAGCACTTGTGCCAGAGTGAACACACACCTGCGCAGACATCTACCTGGGCCTGTTTGCACAGATCCTCTCCTTCAAGACACTCCCTCTGCTTCCACACACACTGCCCCCGTGCACACATTCAGACACACACTCAGAAGCGTGGAAAACACAATCTCCCGGTCCCTGGGCCTGGCTCACCCCTACCCCTCCCCTAACTGTCCTGGTAGGCGCTCCACTGCCAGATCCAGATCTGCCTTAGAGGCACTGTTGGGGCCTCCCCGGGTGCTGGTGCCCCTGCGCCCCCCAAAGCTGGTTGCCTTTGCTCCATGCAGCACCCCAAGGCCCGGCAGTCACACCCACCCATGCCATCATACACGGTCCCTGCCAGTGGGTCCAAGCCTTTCCCCATTCCGTTGACATCTGTGTATTTTCCAGCCTCTTGTAATTATCCCCTCCAAGCTGCATCACATTGTCTCCCAGCACAAACACTGGAGTCACACTGTGTCCCGTACTGGGTCCTCAGCTCAGCTCCGGCCACTCTCCCCACACCCAGGTCCCTCTGGCCCAGGCGCAGTCGTCCATACAGGGGGCCCCCGGGCCTCACCTTGTAGCTGTTTGAAGCGTCCTTCCAGCACGCTGGCATACTGAGCAGGGTTGATGAAGGCAGCTGGTGAGAGCAGGAGGCCCCCGGGGTTCTGGGCCCCTTCCACAGCCTCATAGTAAAACTCGCCGGCCTCGTGCAGGCCGTTCCCGTGCACCCTGTTCACTCCGTTCCCATTCATGCTGCCAGCTGCTGGCTACAGAGCCCAGGGCCCAGAGTCCATGCTCCCCGCCGGCAGGGGGCCAGTTTCTGTTCCCCAGTGGAACCTCAGGCTGGACTCCAGGGTCAGGGGATTCAAGAATGGTGGGAATTACAAGGAGTGGCAAAAAGAGTTACGGGGTGTCCCGAGCTCCTGAGACAGAGAGTGAGGGCACGCCTGGCTGCGGCGAGAGGGGACAGGCGGCTCCAGACAAACAGGTTGGACAGTGTTGGGGAGGGGAAGGAGGCGGAGTGTGGCTGGCGGGGGCAGGGCCAGGCCCTGTGGGGCGGCGGAGGAGGGCACTGCCAGCGCCTTCGAGACCCGCCCATCAGGCCCCAAGTTACCTAAGAATACGCAAGATCCACGAGAGGGGCCCCCCAATGCAAACTCCTGTTTCCCAAAGGTTTGCAGGAACAGCGAGGGCAACCCCTCTCTGGGTGACTCTGGGAGGTCCTTCTCCAGGATGTGTGGGCTTTGAGCCCCAGCTCAGAAACAGACAAAGAGAAATCCGGAAATGAGGAGATCCTCAAAGAGGAAAGGCCAGGCACCGTGCGAGGTATTTTCTTTTACTCCCTTGTCTGTGAAATGGGCACTGTTTCCACCTTTCCAGCTGTTTTTTTTTTTTTTTTTTTTTTTTTTTTTTTTTTGAGACGGAGTCTCGCTCTGTCGCCGGGGCTGGAGCGCAGTGGCCGGATCTCAGCTCACTGCAAGCTCCGCCTCCCGGGTTTACGCCATTCTCCTGCCTCAGCCTCCTGTGTAGCTGGGACTACAGGCGCCCGCCACCTCGCCCGGCTAGTTTTTTGTATTTTTTTAGTAGAGACGGGGTTTCACCGTGTTCGCCAGGATGGTCTCGATCTCCTGACCTCGTGATCCGCCCGTCTCGGCCTCCCAAAGTGCTGGGATTACAGGCTTGAGCCACCGCGCCCGGCCCTTTCCAGCTGTTTACCACCACCTCCAGTGCCAGCTCCTTCCCTGCCCTCCAGCCCATCAGGGCCGTCCTCCACCAGGCCATCCCAGCCCCCAGACACCCTGCTGCTGGGCGCATCTACCAGGCGCCCTTCCCCTCGGCTTCAGCGTTTACCATGTGCAGCCTACACTTGCCCTTCCCCGTCTTCATTCATTCAGTGTTTATTTGACACTTACTGGCTGGAGACAGTGCTAGGCAAAGCCCATGCAGAGCTGCCTCTTCAGGGGAGCCCAGTTTAGTGGTGGAGATAAACACCCAATGAGAGCACAAGGTCGCACAGATGTGTGCAGACACAGTGACAGTCCTGCCTGGCCCGAGTTATGTGCAGCCAGACATGGTGACAGTCCTGGGAGGGATGTGTCCTATGTACACAGGCTTGGTGACAGTCCTGGGAGGCATGTGTCCTATGCACACAGGCATGGTGACAGTCCTGGGAGGCATGTTTCCTATGTACACAGGCATGGTGACAATACTGGGTGGCACTTGTCATGTGTGCAAACATGGTGGGTGGCACATGTTGTACACACATAGACATCATGACAGTTCTAGAGGCTACATGAATCCAAAACCAGAGTGCCAGGAATATTTCCCCCAAACATGACATTCTCCATAACCCACACCTTCTGTCTTCTCTGATGTATAGACGCACTGGTAGGAGAGTTTCACAGCCGGCCTGAAGACCCAACCAGCAGGACAGAGAAGCCCAGGAGAAAATGAGAGGGGGTCCCAGGAAGTTATGGCTGCCACAAGGGGGTCCTCAGACTGGTGCTGGGCTGGCTCAAAAGAATCACTTAGGGAGCTTTTGAAAAACCCTGAGTTGTGGACCAAGATTCTAATTTTCTGCATCTAGGGAGGAGTTTGGAAACCTGTATTTGTTACAAAAACATCCCTGGGTGATCCTGTAAAACATGTGGCCAGGTTTGGGAACCTCCCTCTTGGAGTCTCTCTTCTAGGGGCCAAGCCCACCCCCACTGGGAGCACCACCTCTTGGTGAGAGTAGCTGGGGCCTTTCAGACTGGGTTGGGTTGGGCTGGGCTGGGCAGCCGGCAGGTCAATGGTAATGACAAGGGTGGGATGGAGGAGGAAGCCAAACGGGGTGGGTGGCCTTGGGGTGTGTGGGTGAGTCAGCCCCACGCCAGCCACTGGTGGTGTCAGGTGGCAGCCGCACTCTTGTTGCCATGACAACTCCTCCCCCGGAAGACAGGGAGGCCGTCAGACGAGTTTCTGCTCAGAGCAGAGAGCCCAGGCCCCAGGCCGTAGGGAAGGGTAGGGGCCAAGGCAGGCAGAGAGCACACCCGGGAGAATGGGCAGCTGCTGAAACCAGCAGCAGCGGGAGGAGGGAACCTGCTTCAGGGAACAGGCAGATGAGATAATGGGAGTAACAGGCGGCAGGTGGAAGGAACAGGTGGGGAGGGAGCAGAGGGGAAATAATAGACCAGGAACAGGTGTGGGAAATGACAGTGGGAAATCAAAGAAGATACAACAAGGGCATGACAGGTAAGGGAGAGGTGGGCGGAGACGGGAGTGGCAAGAGCGAGAGTGCTGAAGGATGAAGGGACGTGACCCTGGGGGCTGAGGCCAGAGAGGGAAGCTGTTTTAGTCAGCTTAGCCAGTCCAGGGGCCAGTGCAGCGTCTCTAGGCTTGGGGGGAGGAGCTGGGGAAAGTTCTGAATGGCCTGAAGGCTATTCTTGAGGCTGGATTTGGGCACCAGGGAATTGATAGAGTGTTCTGGGTCTCCCACTTAGAAAGAAAAGTCAGTCTTCCCATAAAGTTAAAGGGCTCTTCATGACGAGCTGACAAAGCCTCCTCCAGCATCCCCCCACCTCGACCCTCCCCTGACCTCACCTGCCAGAGCCTTAATGCGAGACCTCTCAAAGAGGCGGGCTGAGCTGCTGTCATTGTCCCAGTCTGAGTCAGGAAGGTCCCAGCGGTTGTTGATGTCGCTGTACTGGCCCTGGATCTCCAAGCTGTCAAAGTCTGTGGGTGACAGAGTGCTGCTCATGGTGGTGGCTGGCTTCCTGCTCCTGCAAGGAAAATGCGGCCAGTGAGGGTTGTCGAGGGACCACTAAGCCCTCCACTCACCACCAGGGCCTTCTGTCTTCCTGCCCTACCTGTGCCCCGCTCTCCTTGTGGCCAGAGGCTGTGGTTGGCTGCTCAGTGGAAATCAGCCCCCAGAGGGAGAGGGGAAGCCACCGGGGAAGCCTAGGGACAGGAATACATCAGAAGCACAGAAAGTGAAGCAGGAAGGCGGCAGCAGCTCAGAGTAATGCGGTGGTCAGGAAAGGCTCCAACGGCTTCGGGCCAGAGACGGATGGGTTTGGGGGTAAGGAAAGGGGTGATGGGCTTCAGTGCTTCAGACAGCAGTGTACAGCCCAGGATAATGCAGGGAGCACATATGGGGCCCTGTGGGCAATAATGACTAGAAAGTGGCATTCTTTCCTTCCACAAACTGTCCTGAGCCTGTGATCAACCCAAGATGGCCTCCTCTACCCTGTCGGCAAGTTGAGATAAAAAGACCCAGATTCGTTGGACGCAGTGGCTCACACCTATAATCTCAGCACTTTGGGAGGCTGAGGTGGGTGGATCACCTGAGGTCAGAAGTTCAAGACCAGCCTGACCAACATGGTGGAAACCCATCTCTACTAAAACTACAAAAAATTAGCTGGGCATAGTGGCAGGCGCCTGTAATCCCAGCTACTCTGGAGGCTGAGGCAGGAGAATCGCTTGAACCTGGGTGCACCACTGCACTCCAGCCTGGACAAGAGAGCAAGACTTGTCTTTAAAAAAAAAAAAAAAAAGGACCCACATTCTGCTCTTGAGCTAAGAAAAAGCTATGATACACCAGGAAGATTGATGTGCTGTTTGGCAAGTATGGATATACCAGGAAGATTGATACGCTGTTTGGCAAGTGCCCAGGAGTTCAAAGGAGGACACAGTATGGTTCTCTCCCCTTCGTTTGCTTTGGTTTGCCACAGAGAACGTTAGTAAGTACTCAATAAATGTCGGCTGTGACACGTCCCTGCCACTGACATGCATCACCTCACCATAACTTCCCGTGGGGTGAGGGCCCACTATCATCCCCATTTCATAGATAAGGAAACCGCACAAAAGACATTAAGTTGGCCAGGCGCAATGGCTCACGCCTGTAATCCCAGCACTTTGGGAGGCTGAGGCGGGTGGATCATCTGAGGTCAGGAGTTCGAGACCAGCCTGGCCAACATGGTAAAACCCCGCCTCTACTAAAAATACAAAATTAGCCGGGCATGGTAGCACACGCCTGTAGTCCCAGCTACTGGGGAGGCTGAGACAGGAGAATCACTTGAACCTGGGAGGCAGAGGCTGCAGTGAGCCGAGATTGCGCTACTGCACTCCAGCCTGGGCGAGACAGAGTGAGACTCCGCCTCAAAAAAAAAAAAAAAAAAAAAAAGACACTAAGTTACTGGTTCAAGGTCACGCAGCTGGAAGAAACAGTGCTGGGTTTTGAAAAGTTCTTTCCGACTCTGGGGACACGCTCTTAATGGCAGCCTCTTGAACAGAGAATATACACAGGTTCCTCAACCATCCTGGAGGCCTCGAGTCCTCCCCGGAGGGATGAGCAGCCATGGCTCCTGCCTAGGGCCCAGGCTGGGGAAATGTGAACCACGTCTGCTCAACAGCACTACTTATGGCTCTAACTTACGCAAACACACTCTGTGCTCAAAACTAACAAATGAGGTTCAGAATAACTGCTGGGGATTAAAAAAAAAAAAAAACAAAAAAAACAAAAAAACAACCTCTACTGCCCAAAGTTCTTGCGTAATTCAGCATTCAGCAGCCATTCGAGAGAGGGGAGGGGACTGGGTCTGTAACTTTCACAAAACCCCCAATTCTGCATTTCTCCTGATCCCTACTTCCTAGGACCAGGGCTGTGGTCTTGGTAGCCTCAGATTCTGGAAAGGAAGGAGGTATGTAGAAGACAGAAGTGCTGGGTGGTGAGACTCGGGTAGGTGGTGAGACCCATAGGCATACAAAGGCAGGACCTGGCTTCCATCATTAACTAATTCCATGAAGCTGAACCTGACCTGCTTGAAGGCCAGGGTTGTCTGCCCCTCCCCTTTCTCCTAAAGAGAAAATGTGCGCAAGGATTTTTCTTGGGAGGAGCATTAATGAGATGCAAGGGAGCTAAGGTCTAAGGCTTGTAGATTTGGGCTTTAATTCCCTCTAGAAGGAAAGGGAACTTAATTTCTACTAGGCCTAGGACTCTTCTCATTCAAAATCCACCATTTCTCCCCACAGATTCTCTGGATTTGTTCTGTAAATATTTATATAAAAATATATTCTAGGGCAGAGTTGAATCACCCTGAGCAAAGAGCGCTGTGGGCAAGGCATGACCTGAACTAGCGTCACCTAATACTCTCAGCTTCTAGACGGGAAAGTAGTCCACGCCTCAGGACCAAGTGTAATTCCACTTCTCTTGGCCCCTCAAATTAGTGCTTCCTAACCAGCAGCCACACTTATGCTCAGCTCTGGGATGGACATCTCCAGCACTCAAACTCTCCCTGCACAGATCTGCCCACAAAAACGCCTACACCCAAGTCCCACCCTGCCCCCGCTTCGGTTTCCATGACCCCTTACTAGGAGTCACAAACGTACCAAGGCTAGCCCCCGGGAGTGTTTCGCTGGGCCAATATGACTGATTTTTTAAATGACTGATTTTTTGGCCAGGTGAGGAGGCTCATGCCTGTAATCCCAGCACTTTAGGAGGCCAAGGTGGGCGGATCACCTGAGGTCAGGAGTTCGACACCAGCCTGGCCAACAAGGCGGAACCCCGTCTCTACTAAAAATACAAAAACTCAGCTGGGTGTGGTAGCAGGTGCCTGTAGTTCCAGCTACTCAGGAGGCTGAGGCTGTCAAGTCGCTTGAACCTGGGAGGCGGAGGTTGCAGTGAGCCAAGACTGCACCATTGCACTCTAGCCTGGATGACAGAGTAAAACTTGTCTTAAAAAAAAAAAAAAGAAAAAAAAAAAGACTAATTTTGGATTCCTTTAGATGGGTCTGCATTATCTCTCTACAGGCCCAGCCACTTCACATACTATGTTACCTGCCTGGCCCCAACTGCTGAGGTTTGCAAACCCAACCTCATACATCTTTGTACTCCACAAAGAGCAGAAACTCAAAGAAGCTAACCATCTGACCCTCTCTCCAAACTACAGTATCTCTGAGGCCCCTGCAAGCTGCACAGAACCTAAACATGGACTGCTTTGGCTTATTTTTGGGGCTCCAACTTGGTCCTCCCAAGGGGAGGGGCAGACAACCCTGGCCTTCAAGCAGGTCAGGTTCAGCTTCATGGAACCCGTTAATGATGGAAGCCAAGTTCTGCCTTTGTGTGTCCATGGGCACACACCTCCCCACCTACCCGAGTCTCACCACCCATCACTTCTGTCTTCTCCACACCTCCTTCCTTTCCAGAACCAGTGACTGCCAAGACCACAGCCCTGGTCCTAGGAAGTAGGGCTCAGGAGAAATGCAGAATTGGGGGTTTTGTTAAAGTTACAAAGGGGTCCAATTGGGAGCCAGACCCTCCAGGGAGGTCCAACTGTTAGAATGTCCCTGTGGATTCCTACCATTACCAAGAGAAAGTATGGAGCTAGAACCTCCTCTTCCCCCAAATAAAACCTCGGCCACTTAAATGCGCCTCTCCCCAAATTGAATTTGAAGCATGCAAGCTGTGTGTCCTGAGTTTCCAGAAATGCTGTGATATGGATAAGGAACTACGCTGGCACTGGTGTCCTTAGATCACAGACCCCCACAGGGCCACCATGTTGTGACTCCAGGGAGTTTGTTCCCACAGCCTTCCATGTGAATGGTGCTCTCTGGCATTGTTCAGCATGTGGCTCTGAGGCTCTGCTACCTCTGTGTCTCTAGGTCTTGGTTTCTGAGCATTCTGGCTCTGCAGCTCCCTGGCCTTGTGGACAATATGCTGTGTTCTCAGCATGTGTCCCCTGCTGCCATCTCTAGATTTCCACTGATTTCTATTTGCGTTTCTCCTACACATATCCAGCGCTGTTTTCTTGCCACTGAGTAGATCATTCCTCACCTATGACCAGGGTCTCCATGCTCACACTTCCTCAGTTGGCCAGCGGCCCCCCCCCAGCTTCATGACCCCCTGTCTCTCTTGAAGCCGGAGAATCCTCAATTGTCCTCTCTTCCACGGATTCCTGAAGTCTGGCAATAGGGCGGTGCAGTAGCTAATCCAGATTACAGTCTCATCATACCTTATTCTTAGCAATTGACCTCAAGGCCAGGCCCAAGTAGCTTACACTGTTAGTGCTAGAAGAATGCCAACCCCCGCCAGTTGCAGGCTTGGGGTCCTGCTGGAATCTACGCCAGGCACTGCTGGAGGCAGACTAGGCTCACGCGTGCTGATCCTCCAGGGCAGCTTTCCTCTCTTTCAGCTGATATGTTAAGCTAGAAATCCTATACCCTGGGCTAGAGGCTGCCTTGTACCCTAATTCTTCCTCTCACCACCTCCTGCTCCTGATGAATTCTTTCCCTCGCTCAGAGTTGATCATTCCCTCCTCTGTGCTCCCAGGGCACTTCGGCATGCAGCTAGTATTGTACTTACTTATCACATCGCATTACAGTTAGTTGTTTACATGTCTCTCTGCCCACTCCACATTTAACTCATTGAGGACAAGGGCTGTTTACTCGTTTTGATGTTTTTCCAGACTCAGTACAATAGATATGCAATAAAGAGATACTGAATGACTTGACTATAATTCATTTTTTTGGCTATCGAATTAATGTCTTTCTTAGGACTAGAGAGAAGCTCAAGGAAAG